ACTTCGGGATCGACCGTCTGGCGCCGCGACGCGTCACACACACACACACACACACACACACACACACACACACACACACACACACACACACACACACACACACACACACACACGCACACACACACACACACACACGCACACACACACACACACACACACACACACACACACACACACACACACACACACACACACACACACACACACACACACACACACACATTGCCCACCGCTCGCGGTGCCGTACTTGTGCATCCTACTAACACATCCACCAACATACACAGGTCGCTTGCTACACCGACGGGCAGCGCTATGTCGAGCACTACGACGGCGTCGACCCGCACAGCGATGCGGGGCGTGCCTTTTGCGCGAGTGGCGGGCAGCGCATCGTGACGGTGCTCATGTACCTCAACCAGCCCGAGGCGGGCGGGGGCACCCTCTTCCGCAAGTTGGGCCTCGAGATCAAGCCGAGCAAGGGCATGGCCGCGATCTTCTTTCCAGGTCGCCCCGCCTCCCTTCCCTCGCCTGCTTCGCACCGCGCCAGGCTTGGTCACCGCAGCCGCGCCCGCTAACCCGGGGCCACGTCCGGGCTCACGCCTGCTCACGCTGCTCTCTGCGCGGCACGCGAGCAGGCTTCCTCAACGGCGAGCTCGACCACGACGCGCTGCACGCAGGGCTGCCGCCCTTGGGCACCAAGTGGGTGGCGCAGGTTTGGATCCGACAATGGCTACGGGAAGACGGCCAGCCGTCAGCGCCCGCCGCCGCCGAGGAGCAGATCCTCACAGGGCCGCTGCACGAGGGCATCTACCGCGGCCACTGCTTGGCGGGTGACGACGTGTTTGCCGCCAGCATGACTTTTGAAGAGGCCAAGGCATGGGCAGCCTGTCACGCGGGCGTTGAGGGCCGCATACTCTGAGCCGTTTACTCTCCAGGTGAGACTCGCGCTGAGGCGCGGGCGTCACTGACTTGTTAGGCTTCACTTTTGCGAGCGAGGAGCGCTTCCCGTCGGAGCCCGTTCAGGTCTGCTTCAAGGCCAGGCTAAGAATATTCAGCGCCGACGGCTGGTGGACGTACTCGCTCGGCCGGGCGACGGAGTGACGGCTCGACGTCGCGAGCTTCGAGGCACCGTAGGACTTAGGACGGCGGCCGGGGCTGGCCGCCAATCGTATATTTGGGGCCCGCCAGGGTTTTGCAGTGTTGGGGCGGAAGGTTTGTGTGTTATGTGCGACGTATAGAGGGTGAGACCGATATCCGTTTATCCGTAGTTGTCTCTATCATAGTCATAGAGAGCGTTGTCCGTTGAGCTTCTTCAAAAAAAAGGCGGCGACGGCGTGTCTGGGGCTTTTTTATTGGTCTCACACAACACTTGTCACCCTGGGTGAGCTCTCGATCCCGCCGAAGCGCGATCGACCGCTCGCAGAGGTACATGTGTGCGGTCTCGTCTCGCACATCGGATGCTCGTGGCGTGGCTCCTGCGTCCTGGGCCGTATGTATGAGAGAGAGAGAGAGAGAGAGAGAGAGAGAGAGAGAGAGAGAGAGAGAGAGAGAGATGCGCATATCTCACCTTCCCATCTTCGTTGTGCGCGGCTTCGGCCTGCCGGACTCGTCATACACCTGCGGGTAGGCGCGCCCGAGCATGCTGGGGCGGTGCATTGGCAGCTTGTCCGGCTCGAGTCCAATCGCCTCGAGCTCCTCGCGCACAATCCGGTACATCGCCTGGTTTCCCTCGCCATTGAAGTGAAGTCCGTCGTAAAAAAGCGCCCTCCATGTGTCTCCCACCCCCTTACGGTTACTCGATCGTGTTCAACGACGTTGAACAGTGTTCAACGTCGTTGCACACAAGTGGAGAATGGCCGTAGCTCCTGTCCACGAGCGATTCAGAAGACGTACCAAGTATCGATTCTGTATAGAATTGCAAGGCGCACACGCTGGTGCAGGCGGCGAGTCGTCGATCCGACTCGTTCCGACGTGAAGTCGCCGTGAAGGGTTGGCAAACAGGGCCATTTTGCCACATTTTGCCCTCTCCTGCGATCTTCTCGCGTCGGCAAGCGCGCGGGCCAGGATGGGCGAGCCGGTCCCGCCACGCTGGACGGGCCAGCGGCTGGCACGCGCCGGCCACCCCGGCGGTGCGGCGGCCTCATCGCGCTCGTCGTCTGCGAGGCCACCGCTCGGCGTCGCCGCGTCCGACGGCGATGGCGCTTGGCTGTGAGGTGGGATGGCGGCATGGTGCGCGCGGACGTGGGGGTGGTGCGGGATGCGCGTGCCAGCAAGCATAGTTTCACCTCCCCAACCCCGCAGGCGCGCCGACGTGCTGCCCGAGCGCGTTTGGAGGCAGCAGCAGCTCCTCGCGAGGCGCCTTCGGAGGGGTGCCACACCCCTTTCCCAGCCGCGCGCGAGTTGAGCTCCGATTTGCGCTCTTTGTCGCACACGCCCGACACTAGTAGGTGAGGATCGACCAGCCTCCGCTAGCAGGGCTTCGTCGGGCGCGTCTTCGTCGAGCGGTGGTGCATCTCCCATGCTCCCACCCGCGCCCTCCTCGCAGCCCGCCCGCGGCCCACACCGACGCCCTCACGGGCTCACCCTAGTCGTAGGTGCGGTTTTTTTGCGTGCCCCCCGTCGATACGGGGCGCTGGGCGATGGCTGGGCTTGTCGCCGGGCGAGCTAGCCCCTCAGCCGGCCGCGGAGCGGAGGTGCGAAATCGAGGCGGCGCGGCCCCTGCGCGCAGCCTGTCCGGCCGGCGCGCGCATGGTTCCGTAGCCCATCTAGTGCCTCACTGACCGACTCCAGCGCCACGGTGTATGTGGCCGGTGTGGTACTGGGGCTGGGCAGCCTTGGGGCCGGCGGGAACCGCCGTCTAGCGGTCGCACTAGTCTCTTTTCGTTGTGCAACCTGTTTGTTCAACGGTTGTTCAACCATACTTTGAGCCTTAATTATTAATTCGGGTTTGGGTCTCTGAGGTCGATACTAGCGTCCATAACTTGCCACAAGCATGCTTTACAAAAGTCCAGCGGAGGGAGACTCTCAGATCGGCCGTCCGCGCGCGCTGTGAACAGCGCCGTGGTTGAACACTGTTCAACGTCGTTGAACACGTAGCGAAAGAGAGACCGTGTAGAGGATGTAGAGTGTAGAGCGCTGTAGAGCTGTAGAGATGTAGAGCGCTCTGGAACGCTGTAGAGCTGTAGAGCTCTACATCCGCCGCGGGACGAGGCGGGTGCGTTGTAGAGCGATGTAGAGCGCGATTTTGTTGTAGAGTTTGTTGTAGAGGCTCTACAGCCAAACCGCCGGGAAGGCAGTGACTCAAAGAGGTCGAGTCGCACTAAAATGGGGTGTCTCCGAGCTTACTGGAGCTCTGATGGACGGCCCTGACTATCCCTGACACACAGAGAGTCACTCTGACGGCACACAACACCCTATAACTGCGTCATGACCAGCCTGCCATGCGTCGCCGGTGCCGCATTCGTCGCAGTGCTTCTTTAGCAGGCGGTGGACTGTCGGCTGCGAGGACGGTCGCATTTGCGCGAGGCGAGGCGAGCATTTAGACGCGTTGCATGCGCCATGACTCGCGCCAGCGCGTGCGGGAGCTCCTGGCTGAGCGTTGAGTCCAGGCGAGTTGCGCTGGCCACGATCGCTACGCCGAGCCGAGCTGACGCGCCGAGGCGCCGGCCAGTCGCAGCCGTGAGGCATGCCACAGCAGCAGAGGCACCTCCCACCCATTGGGCGGGTAGACAGAAGGCCAGGGCAGCACTGGCAAGTGCAACGCGCCTCATGTCGGAGAGCGGCCGTGCCTCGTTCGCCGCTGATGCGGATGTAGAGTTTGTTGTAGAGATTCCACGTTGTAGAGCGCCTCTACATCGCTCTACAATGCACCCGCCTCGTCCCGCGGCGGATGTAGAGCTCTACAGCTCTACAGCGCTCTCCATCTCTACAGCTCTACAGCGCTCTACACTCTACATCCTCTACACCCTCCGCGCCGTGTCTGTGTCGCTCTGGAGCGCTGTAGAGCTCTAGGCCTCTAGCTAGAGCTCTACATACATCCGGCGCGTGACGGACCGCCGCAGATGCGCTGTAGAGGTGAGTGCGATTTTGCTGTAGAGCTTGTTGTAGATGCACGGGGCGTCGCCCGCCGCGCCCCGCCGTGGGTGCAGCCTCATGCCCCACCGCCGCATCTCCCCTTTCCCGTTCGCTCTTCTTCTCCTCCCTGTCTGGTCAGCACTAAGCGGGTCCGCACACAGCCGAGACGCCGGAGTGCGCTGTGCGGGGATCGCTCTGCCGTGCGGAGATCCGCGCCGCAACCATGCAGGCGCAGCTCCAGGGGCGCAGCATGAGCATCTCGCCCCCACACACCCCAGCACGTGCTCTCGCGTGCGTACGGCTGTAGTGCGTCTCTCATGATGAAACCATGAATATCTCTCCCCCGTTAATGGCATTATACAAGTTGAGCCACAACAAAGTCAGAATACGGCTAACAATAAAGTAACTAATACTTCACAAAAAGAAGACATGTGCGGGGTCCGGCTGATGTACGGTTCTGGAAGAGCGGTCCCCTACTGCCGCCGCGTGCGGTTAGCGTTCCAAGCAAAGGCCTCTGCGATTGCAGGCCGCAAACACTCGGCCCAGCGAGTGTACCCCTCGGGCGTCAGGTGGAGCAAGTCGTACATGAGGTGCGGCTGCAAATGACGCCCCCCGGGCCCCGCCGCCGAGGAGGCGTTCCGCTTCACCTGGTGAGCGCGGGCGTGTGGGGCACCCAACGGCTCCGCCAGCATCAGGTCGCCGTCGGGCGTCGCGCTCGCAGCCTGGTCGGCCGGTGCGTAGCCAGGCGCGAGGAAACGGTCGCCTGCGCGGCGGGGACCTGTCGGTTAGCTGGCTGTGCGCGGACGTGCAGAGGAGTGGAAATCGATGCCAGGGCGCACCGCAATCGACCCACCGCACCCACGGCCGCTTCCAAGCATACGCCGCCAGCCGGCCGTTGAGCGTTGTGACCTTATGGCGAGTTTGGCCGAGGTAAAGCCAAGGTGCGGGCCCCAAGTAGCAGTCAGCCTAGAGTAACGCGGACCGCGTGGTAGTGGCTGTTTGTCTCGGCGTCGTCCCACCACGGGGTGCGTAGGCGCCTTGTTGGGCGAGGAGGGAGGGAGATTTGTGGGTTGCCGGCTGCGCCGGGCGGCGGAATGAGGCAGCGCAAGTGGCCGCGGCTTGGGCTCGCCTGCCGCCAAGCCACGCGTCGCCGCCCCGAGGCAGGATAGCCTGCAGCAGCAGCGTCGCCGCCGGCCGCGCCGCGTGGAGCTGCTCCATCACCAGGACGAGCTGAGGCGTGGGGAAATGGTGTTAACCTCCATGGCCTCCAGGGCACGCACCTCTCATAGACTAGCGCGCAGCGCAATAGGCGGTCTTTTCTTCCTAATCACAAGGTATGCGGAGCTGCTCCGCACAAGGGTGAACTGCGGATTGGCACAGAAAAAGAATCAAGGCCGTGTTGTGGTGTGGGGGGGGGGCGGCAACCTCGTCGGCGACGACCCGCCATGATTCACCAGCGCCCAAGTCGTTCGTGCCAACCATGACCGCAAAGATCGTCGGGCGCAGAGCCCGCGCGAGCAGGCCGCCGCGCTGCAACCGCCAGCCGAGGTCCTGCAAGAGGGTGGCGAGCTTTGGAGGTGGGTGCTGCTGCCCCTGACGGCGGAGCGAGTTTCGATTTGTTTGTTCACCTGGACACGGTCGCCACCGATGGCAAGGTTGAGTGGCGACCACAGGCCAAAGGCGTCGTGCCACAGCTGTTCGTTCACCGGCTGCGGGATCGAAGGAGCGGTCCCCGAGAAGCCGGAGCGCAGCCAACCCTCCGTGATCGAGTCTCCGAGAAAGACCAGGCGAGTCTGTGGTGCCGCCGCCGCCGCCGCCGCCGCCTGTTGCCGGTGCAGGCTCCTCCACCGCACCTCAGCCGACCAGCCAGGAAGGTTGTCGCGCGGGATACCATTGCGCGAGACTGGCGGCCACGACGGCCACTCGTCCTCAAGTGAGGCGGCGAGCGGCTTGCTGCACGACCAGATGCGGCACATGGGCGCTGGGTTGCAGCCGCCCGCTCGCCTCCTCAGTTGGTAGAAGAGGGTGCCGAGGATCGCGGTCGCTGCGACGAACGCGATCGCGCGGCGTGAGCTTGATATCGCTGCAAGCGCAGGCCGAGCCGCAGCGAGCGTGTGGTAGCGCGGAGCGCACATGCGCGAGAGGTACCAGGGCGTGCCGGCGGCCAGACGGTCCGCGATTTTTTTGTGACTGAACTATTTGGGTACCAAGGGCATGTGCCGCTAGATCTCACTGAGCTGAGCTCATATCTGCCTTTGGGGATCCCGATGCACCTTATGACCCAAATCCCTACCTGCTTGATCATTTGGTTTCTTGCCGTCGTCCCAGCTGTGTGCAGGGGCCCGCCCCGCACACAGCGGGTCCCCAAGGGTGAACCTACCTGCAAGCCCACCTCTGCGAAATAAAAGCGGAGACCTCAGTGGGAGCGAACTCTGATGGAGAGGGAGGTTCCCCTTTGTTTGTTTGCTACCGGCAGCGACGTTTCTTTTTGTTCAAATAAACGCACAACCCCGGACGAGGAGAGCCGTTACGGAAAAGCATGCGCGACGCTGCCTCTTTGCACCGCTCGCTCGCGGCTGCGGGAGACATGGCCGCCGATGCGGCTCGCACTCGCTCGGCGGGCCTCCGTCCCACAGCCGCCCGGGCGTGCCACGGGTCTGCCTGGCGCTGCGCTGCTCGCACGCTGCACTGCACAAAGCTGCGACAACAAGGGGAGGCTCCTGAGCTTGAGCGTTGAGCAGTGCAGCTGCGGGCGCTCGTGGGCGGCTGTGCAGTGGTGAGAGTGCCTGATTGGAGGCGAGCTGGTGCTGCGCCAGGGTGCGCAGCATGCGCTCTTGCTCTGTGCTGAGGCATGCTGGCTGGCGCCCAACACAATGCCCTGGATGCATTGCTCCACGCCGTGCTGGCTGGTGCAGTACTGCCAGTGCGCCGACTGGCGCGCAGGGTGCGCGTCGCCGTGCGTGGCACGGGTGGCTCGAGAGGCGCGGCTGTCGTTCAACCCCGCGGCGCATGTGCGCCGCGGAAGCTGCTCGACAGGCTGCGGGCATCGCTGCGGCAGAAAGCGCCCGCCCTCTGCTTTGCTTTCGCCCGCGTTTTACGACAACTTTCGGTTTATCATAGCCGCCGAACTTTACCTCGCTGTTTCTTTATAGGCGTCTCGCAGCTGCGTATTCTCGTATTATCTTCGAGTACATGTAGTTGCGTGGGGGCGGTACGTACTCCCGTATCACGTATCACTAGCTCCGAGTAGAGGGGGCGTCCTTGCAGTTAAGGGGAAACCTGGTACGCGGGGCTAACCCTCGGAGAGTATTCTTTAGCTCCGAGTAGAGGGGGCGTTCCGCAGCTAGGGGGACCCACAGCGCGAGGGAAAAATTCCGCCGCTGGGGTCACCCAAAGCGCAGAACTAACCCTCGGAGACCCGTGTTTACTTTAAGGCCCTTGCCCTGCGAATGCGCGCCCCCCCCCTAGCTAGGGGTCAGGGCTCTCTAGCCCGTAGCCCGATGCCGATCATCCGGCCCGCTGGATGCGCTTCTCAGCTCACCGGCCCTGGATGTGAGGTTGCCGACTGCACTCCAAGTGCTCCAAGTGCCCCCGGGCCCGAAATCGCACAGAGACAGCCACGCAACACACAAACAAACTCTCTGCCCCCCCCTCTCTCTCTCTCTCTCTCTCTCTCTCTCTCTCTCTCTCTCTCTCTCTCTCTCTCTCTCTCTCTCTCTCTCTCTCTCTCTCTCTCTCTCTCTCAGAAGACTCGTCCTTGCTCGAGGAGAGCTCGATAGACTCGAGGGGCCAGGATATGCAGCGAGGAGGGCGGAGCTGCGCCGAAAGGCGCAAGAAGCCGCGAGAACAAGGGACCGACAGGCGGCGGCGGCGTTGCAGAACGAGGCAGAGGAGAGAGAGCGACGCGACAGAAGAAGAAACGACAAGGGAAAGAACGACGAGAGTGGGACGACCGCGAGGTGGTATGAAGGTTGCAGCGAGAATGGGCGAGAGACTGCGAAGAGAGATAGGAAAAGGCGGACGCCCAAGGGTGGGCGACGGCTAGCGCATCACACCCCTCTCCTTAAAATCCCTGTGTGGTGGCGGCGTGCCGTCCTCCCTTCCCTCCCTTGGGTTGTCCGTTTTCTCTCTCTCTCTCTCTCTCTCTCTCTCTCTCTCTCTCTCTCTCTCTCTCTCTCTCTCTCTCTCTCTCTCTCTCTCTCTCTCGCAACACGGGGTCCCAGGGAAGGCGAGCAAAAACCTTATCGCGCGCGCTAGACGCCGACTCGGAGGGCCTCTTTTGTTCAAGCATCAAAAAGAGTTTAACTACAAAAACTCCCTCGCACGACACTAGGGTTGGTCTTTTCTGTAGTCCGCGCCAGTCCGCGCCCTTGTCGTGCCAGTGTGCTGTGAGAGAGGCTTGTATTGGAAGAATTCTTTTCTGGTGCACCTGTGATGAGCCAGAGCGCGCCAGTCCCGTGGCTAGTGTTGTGAGAGGGAGTTTTGTCGCTTGCTTTTTTTGTTCGGTGAGTGCTGTCCTTTCTCCACCTCCCGGTTTATTTCTCTAAAGGAAATTCCAGAATAACATGTACAGCCAAGTTGGGGTCGATAGGCCCCAACCAACACTCTAGTTGTTGACTTTAAAATGAAGTTCGAATTATGCGCTTGCCCGTCGCCAGACGACGCAGGGCAGAAGACGGTGAGGCGGAGCAGACGCGCAGGGCGAGACGGGGGAGGGAGCAGGACTTTGCGGAGATCAGCAGGAGGATGTACGAAGAGATTAGGAGCAGCAGGGACCCGAGGGACCATGTGGAAGACGGCTAGTGCTAGTCCCCCATCGGGAGGACGACCCCGGCTAGTCGCCGACCACACCCACAAAGAACCCTGCACAAAGATCGCACCACCCCACCCCTTTTCACCACCCCGCCCCCGCGAGCTCGCTTCTTCACCCCTGCCGCCCCGGACCGCTCAGTTGGCCAATCAGATCGATCCCCTCATGGCAGCGGAGCCCAGCACGGACTTTCGTGCCAAGCCGCTCGTGGCGGTCGTGTCCGGTGCGATCAGCCAGCCCTCCCACCTGCGGGCGGTCTGCAACCGCGGGGCTGACATGGCGGTTGCCAAGCCCCTCAAGCTGAGGGCGCTGAAGGTGATGATTGACGCCTCGGGCGCGGCCGATCCCATCGGCTGAGCATTGCAACACAGACACTGAATGACAAACAAACAACATACTGAATGAACCCCCCTCCCTTGGCCCTTACCAGACTTTCGTTAGATGTGTGTGAGCGCCAGTTTCTGCTTTCTTTCTTTCGCGCAACAACACACCGCAAATTTCTCGCACAGACCTCGTCGCGGCTCAAAAGTTCAGGTGTTGAGTGCGTCCATTTTGGCGGGGCCTTCATTTTCTGTGAACCAGTCTGCGTCGTTTTAGAGAAAAAATCTGATTTTAGAGGTGTGGGTCCAGCTTCCTGGCGCGTGCAGCGCGCGATTTTTCGGAAGTGGACTTTTTTAGCCCGGAAAAGCTCGTCCGTACAATACTGTTGAAGGATAGTAATAGGAGAGTGTGGTAGCAGGGCGCCCGGGTCGCCCCGGAGCGGCCCCGCGCGAGGAGGTGGGTGGAGGGCGGGCGCAACGCCATCGGGCAGGCCGCGCGGAGACGCAGCCGGGGCCAGCGCGCGGCGCTAGCCCGAGGCTCGGCGAGCCCCGCCCGCAACTTTCGTCGACTTTCGGCCTTTTCGCGACCCCACCGCAACTTTCGAGAGAGAGAGATTTGTTCAACTTTCGCGACCCCACCGCAACTTTCGAAAAAAGCGACAGTCTGGTAAGGGCCAACCCCACACGCAAAATCTCTCTCTCTCTCTCTCTCTCTCTCTCTCTCTCTCTCTCTCTCTCTCTCTCTCTCTCTCTCTCTCTCTCTCTCTCTCTCTCTCTCTCTCTCTCTCTCTCTCTCTCTCTCTCTCTCTCTCTCTCTCTCTCTCTCTCTCTCTCTCTCTCTCTCTCTCTCTCTCTCTCTCTCTCTCTCTCTCTCTCTCTCTCTCTCTCTCTCTCTCTTTCTCTCTCTCTCTCTCTCTCTCTCTCTCCGAATCGCTCCCTCCACACACAAACACACAGATCGTCCCTCCCTAGCGCGTGCGATTCCGTGTTGCATTTTATTGCAGACGCCAGACCGCGCCCTGCTCACCGCAATGTGCAAGCGCCGTGGTGAGGACCGGGCTGGACGCGAGCAGCCTCTCCACAGGTGGGATCCCGACCGGCCGGATGACGACCAGCGAGTGCACAAGCTCGCACGAGCCGCGGAGCCGCCGGCAGGCGGAGGACTCGGCAAAAAGTCTTCAATCCTGGACTATGTCAAGGAGGAAGCCGCCCGGCGAGAGTCGGACGCCGCCGCGCCAAAGACCAGCGGCGGTCTCTCCGGCAGCCGCACCCTCTCGCACGCCGACCGGATGCTGGCAGAGGCGAGCGCCTTTCGGGCGGCGGCGACTCCCTCGGCGCCGACAGAGCCGTCGGCGGGGGACGCCGATGAGGCCGCCGCCGAGCGCGCGCGGAGGGAGGCGCGCGCGGCCCGCTTTGGCGGCGGTGGGCCTGCCTCTTGCGGGGATGGCTCGAGCGACGGCGCGGGAGCTTGCGGCGGGGGCGACAGCACCGACGCACACTGCGGCGCCCGCAGGAGTATAAGTAGTGGCGGCGGCGGCGGCGGCGGCGGAGGCGGCGGAAGCGGCGGCGGCGGAAGCGGCGGCGGCGGAAGCGGCGGGTGTGGCGGGAATGAAAATGGCTGCGGAAGCGGAAGTGGCGGTAGCGGACGCGGCGACGGCGGAAGCGGCGACGGCGGAAGCGGCGGCGGCGAAAGCGGCGGCGGCGGAAGCGGCGGCGGCGGCGGCGGCGGCGGCAGCAGCGCGGGCGCGGGCGGCGCGCCGTCAAGTAGTGCAGGGGAGAGGGCACCGGCACTGGGATCGCGCTGGGCGGATGACTCGGAGGAGGAGGAGGAGGAGGAGGGAGGGGCGGCTGCGGCGAGTGCGCCAACTGCCGCCACTTCCTCTACCGCAGCGGCGCCGGCGTCTGCGGGAGGTGCGCGGGAGCAGAGCGGCTCTCCCGGCGGGGCGGGCGGGGCTTGCGAGGAGGAGGCACGAGGGAGCTTCGTCCCCGCCACCGGCTTCGAGGGCGCCCGCGCCGGTTGGGTCTTCAAGACGGGCGCCGAGGGGCTCGGGTACTACCAGGAGGCGCGAGCAGCTGCGGCGGTGGCGCCGCATGGCCGGCGGCCGCACCTAGACAAGAGGCTGTGAGTAGGCGCAGGCGGCGGCGGCTCCGCCATCGCAGCGAACGCCGGTCGGCGGTGCGCGACCGCTCGAGGCAGGGAGCAGCCCCCATGCGCTCAGCCGTGGGGCGACGCCCCGCCGCGAGCAGCTGGACGGCCCAATCGGAGCCGGCGGCGGCGCGGGGCGGCCAGTGCTGTGCGGACGTCAGTGCCGCAGCGTCGACGCGTTCGAGAAGCTGCACAAGATCGACGAGGGGACGTACGGGGTGGTGTACAAGGCGCGCGACCGGCAGAGCGGCTCAGTGGTCGCCCTCAAGCAGGTCAAGATACTAAACAGCCGCGAGGGCTTTCCGGTGAGTCGCCTCCGCACCGCACCGCACGCAAAATATCGCGCCGGACCGACACGCACCACACCCGCGAGGGCCGCGCCAGATTGAGGAGCCTCTCAGCGTCGCGTGTGGTGGGGGTGCATAGGTGACGGCGCTGCGCGAGATCAATGTGCTGCTCCAATTGCGGCACGAGAACATTGTCAACGTGCGCGAGATGGTGCGCGAGATACTGCGGAGATACTGCGGAGATATAGCGGGTGGGATACTGCCGAGGTATTGCTGAGGTGCGCCCGAATACACAGCCGAGATCTGGTGCGAGAGCAGGTCGCCCGGCGGCCCCAGGTTGTGTCAAAGGACAAGATGTTCATGGTGATGGACTTCATGGAGCACGACCTCAAGGGTCTGATGAACGCGATGACGCAGCCCTTCACCGCGTCCGAGGCGCGCGGCGGTTTCAGGCGGAGGCCCGCCTTGGGCGCTGCACCCACTCCGCGTCGGGGTTTGGCCTTCGCCCTCAGGTAAAGCGATTGCTGCTCGACCTCACCTCCGCGCTCGCGTACTGCCACGAGCACTACGTGCAGACTCATGGCCGCAAGATCTCCGGGCAGGGCTGCCCTTTGGAATGATCTCGACTAAACTCGGCTGTAGGTCCTACACCGCGACCTCAAGACGTCCAACCTGCTGATGAACAACCGCGGCAAGGTCTGCATTGCTGATTTCGGTCTTGCGCGGAAATACGGAGACCCGCCTAAGGAGTACACGCAGCCGGTGGTGACGCTGTGGTGCGGCTGCGGCGAGCGGCTGCCGGGTAGGGGAGGGAGAAGATTGCGACACGTCCACCGCACGCGCCGTTAGGTACCGCGCGCCAGAACTGCTGCTCGGTGCCACGACGTACTCTGCGCCCATCGACGTTTGGTCTCGTGGCTGCGGTTTCGCGGCGTCTCTTGCGTGGCCACGCTAAGGTTCGCGGAACGTCCGGCTTAGGTCGCTCGGCTGCATCTTTGCAGAGCTCGTCCTGGGCGCGCCTCTGCTGGCCGGCCGCGGCGAGATTGATCAAATCTCGCAGACGTTCAAGCTGCTCTCCACGCCGACCGAGGAGAGCTGGCCGGGCGTCTCGAAGCTGCCCAACTGGAGCAAGGTGTCTTTCCGGCCGCAGCCGTTCGCGCGGCTCCGCGAGAAGTTCACGCGCGGCGCTTCCTTCACCTCGTCGACGGCCATGTCCAATCACGGGCTCGCGCTGCTGGAGAAGATGCTCAGCCTCAACCCTGCGGCGCGCGTGACCGCGGAGGGCGCGCTGCGGCACCCCTATTTTGCCGAGGACCCGCCGCCTAAGGCCCACCTGACGCTCCCCTGAACCCTGCTGTGGCCTGTCCTGACCCGCGACACCATGTACTAGGCCCACCACCTGATGCCGACCTGGCCGTCGTCGCACGCCGGAGGCCCCAAGCCGAAGCCCAAAATCAAATCGCCAGACGCTCCTTCGCCACACAAGGATTTGCCCTGACGTGCGAGCACGCTACGCCGCGGTGGGCCGGAGGCCGCCGCCATCCCTGCTCTGTACGGTCCGTTCGCCAGTCGCTTTCCGGTCGCGTCTCTGGTCACACATGGGAGGGAAGGGCGACTCCCGCGCGAGGCCCCGCCCTCACCACCATGGCACCCATGACCGTCGTCCGAGGTCGCATGATTCTCAACGAACATATTTTTGGGGGCGCGCCGCCAGGCGCGTCCCCACTTTTGTATCACAGCTGCGAGGGCCAACCAAGGAATTCGGAGCGGTCAGATAGGTAGCGAGCGGTCAAATCGTAGGTCCTGGGCCGCAGGCCGGCGCGCAGCGCCACGCCGCCAGGCGTCCGCCGTGGAGGCCCGCCGGAGGCTCTTCCTGCGGCCACATTCTGGCAAGATTCCGCCGCGCTCAGGCGCCCAGAGGATGCGTGCGCTGCGCTCAAACGTCGCGATTTGGCAATAGGCGCTCGAGCCGGCGCACAGCGGACGGGGGCGCCGCGCAGGGGGGGTCGGAGGGGTGCGAGAGGGGGCGTGGGTCGGGCGCGCACCGGCCGGCTCCGGGAGGGGCCATCACTTCGAAGAGGGGGTGGGGCGACCAGCGCCGCGCCGCGCAAGCGCGGCGCGCTCCTGCGGCCTCCCTCCCCCTCCTCCCGCCCTGGCCCCGCCCTCGCCCCGCCCACCCAGTCCGCAGTCGCCCCGCGTCTACTTCCACGTCTCGCTCACGCGCTGAGAAAAATTCTGAGACGGCGTGCAGCAAAGTCGCCGACGAGTCGGTCCGCGTGCCTCTCCGTGTCGCGCATCGTTCTCATCCATCCATAAACTCACTTTGGCCTCACTAAAGCGAAGTCTGAATCCTTATGAACGATAGCGGTCACGCCGTAGCTCGCGCATAGAAGCAGGAAGCCAGGCGGCCGCATCGCGTTCGCTGTATACGTTTTACCCAAAACCGGAACCAAAACACGAATCTCCAATCCAAGAAGGGATGAAATCCCTTATGGATATAATCGCCAAATTATCTCAAGAGCATAGTGTGAATGCCCGGGAACAGCCCCTCCTGGCCCGAGTGCGGGGCGCGAGGGACAAACAAATTCAGAGGGCATGAAAGTCGTCAAGCTGCTTGATCAGGCCAGTAATGGCAGCGCACAAGTTGGAGCTGCCATGGTGGTCGACGCTGTCATGTCGCTGGTGGTGTCGGCCTCGGCAATGCAGTAGTCGAGGCCGTTCTTCCCGGTAGAGAAGTCATGAACGATAACGGTCACGCCGTAGCTCGCGCATAGAAGCAGGAAGCCACGCAGGCGGCCGCATCGCGTTCGCTGTATACGTTTTACCCAAAACCGGAACCAAAACACGAATCTCCAATCCAAGAAGGGATGAAATCCCTTATGGATATAATCGCCAAATTATCTCAAGAGCATAGTGTGAATGCCCGGGAACACCTTAATCCTCAAATTTTAGATTAGGACCCAATACCCAAGCGCCAAGGTCGGAGAGTCGTGTCATAGAAGAGGAGAGAGTGTGGAGATGATTTGTGCGGGATCAGGCCCGAGTCCCTAGTGTCGCCGGAGCAGCCTTTTTCGTAACAGGAACTGTGTAAAAACGGTGCCGCCGCTCTGGTGAGTCTGTGTACTCTGTTACTGAAAAATCTCTTCAGGAGTCGTTCAAGAAGCACGGACGAGGAAGAAGCAGCGGCCTGTAGACTGTTAGTACGTGAGAGACTATGGAAAGTTCACGTCATGACGGTTAGCCGCTGTCACGACCGTTAGCCGCTGTCACGACAGCTGGGAGCTGTCATGACAGCAAACGACAGCGACAGTGACACCTACCTGTCACCAGCTGTCACCAGCTGTCACCAGCTGTCACCAGCTGTCACCAGCTGTCACCTGACCAGCTGTCGTTGCTGCTGTCATTGCTGCTGTCATTGCTGCTCTCATGAGCAGGGGCCCCCGCAGGACAGTGTCACAATGGGATGTGGTGCCACTAACGAGAGAGACAGGACACTCAAGATATATACGCACGCGCGCCCGTAAGTAGTAGCCACGCACCGTCAGCAGCAGCGGGCGTGAGTCACAGAATCTGCAAAACCCTTGCCCTCCTTCCTCCAGCATGTGCCGTGATGGGCTCCAGCGCTGGTTCATCTGCCGCTCAAAAATCTCACCCGAGCGAACGGCGTCAATCATCAACCGCGAGGATTGGGACCTTGAAATCCACGATCGCAAGCAAACGCGCAGAGCATTGAGCAACACACCTCTATTGAACCTCTTGGCCATTGCCGAGCCACAATTGGCGTTGATCAGGAACTCTCATGTAGAGAGCTCGGCTCTGCTACAAGAAGAGAGCCCTTAGGGGCCTAGAGAACACAACCCCCTCTCCCTTTTCTCCCAGTAAGCTATAAGTACGTACAAGAAAGCAGGCTCGCCCTACACAGAGAAATTCTGAGGTAGAGGAGCAGGAGTTTTGCAAAACGTGTGAGACCGCGTACAAACGCTGCTGTGCATCAAGCGCTGAGAGGTTCATCCACGCGCACCGGTGTCTTATTTTAGTCCATGGGGTGTAATGCACAGATGGGTGGGTGGGCGGTTGGGCCCCTTCGCTGGTGCCTGTCACTAGGCTATGGCTGCCTCACTGTGGCGCTGGCGCTGCCTCGCTGTCGCTGTCGTTGTCGTTGTCGCTGTCGCTGTCGCCGTCACTCGCAGGGTCCCGCGCTGATTTTGTCACCGCCTGTCGCTGGCGTTCACTGGCTTCACTGTCACTGTCACTATGGCTGTCACTGTTCCTGGGTGCCTTTCACTCCTCCCTGGCAGCTGGCTGTCACCAGCTGTCACCAGCTGTCACCAGCTGTCACCAGCTGTCACCAGCTGTCACCAGCTGTCACCAGCTGTCGTTGCTGCTGTCGTTGCTGCTGTCGTTTCGCAGCCGCTGTCACGACATATTGACCACGTCGCGACCGTTAACAGCCGTTTTAACCGTCATGACGTGAACTTTCCATAGTCTCTGAGGGCTGGTCGTGAACCAGTAAAAAGAGAAGAAAAACGCGTCGCGGAGAAGACCCGCGACCGGTCCAATCGCTTTTTTATTTACCTATTCACCACCAGGCCGTCCGTCCCTGCGTGTACCGAACTTGTAGACTTCAATGAGTCACTTGGTTTGAAAAATGGCCGCGAGCTTGCGCGTTACCTTTGGTGCAGGAGAGGTGCCGGTGGGGCAGGCGGCCGCAAGCGCAGTGGGCCGAACGACCGGAGAATCAGCCTCCCGCGCTTCACGCCGCCTGCGCATCGACGCGCACGCAGCAGCGGCACTCGAGTCAACAGCGTCCACGTCGGCAGCACCGAAGGCAACCCCATATCAGCCTCAGCCGCTCGATGGGAGCCAGGCCACACCAGACGGCTGGAAGCTGCTGCCGGCCGTCGCCGACGGCGCAATCAGGTGGAGTCCGTCGTCGGTCGTGCATGGAGACGCAGTGCTTGTCGAACCACGGACAGGCGCGGAGATCACCGTGAGGCGGAATCGGGCGGTGCTGGATGCGCTGAACCACCTGGAGCACGAGTGGACCGTCCACGTGTTCACACTCGATGCAAACATGACCGCCTATCTCACCGATTCCCTACCGCCACCGCTGAGAAACGCCTTGCGACGTGGGCGGCTGCTACTCCGCGAACTCCCGCGCGGCGTCGCACGAAACTACTGGCGAACCAACGTAAAAAAGCGGCCGTGCGCAGGCTGCCGGGGCTGGCTCCGGGGCAAACTGTGGTACAACCACTGGCTGGCGAGCGCTTCGTTTTGGCGGCACTTCACCGCGCCGCTCCTCCTGCTCTTCGAGCTCGACACCCTCTGGTGCGAGCGTCCGACGCTGCACCTCTCCGCGTTCTACGCGCCCCTCCTCTCCTTGCGCTTTCTGATGGTGGGTGCTCCATGGGAGTGGTCGGGCAAGTGCACCATGCCCAAGCACGGGCCAAAGATGCGCGACTGCGTCGGGAACTCTGGACTCTCGCTGTGGCGACGCGACGCGGTGCTCGCGCTCACGGAACACCTCAACCGCAGCGAGACAGCGCAGGACGAGTTCCTCTTGGACTTTTCGCTCTCGCGCAGCCTTCAGTGGGCCGGCGCGGCCACGGCTTCCGCCGAGCTCGCCGCGCACTTCAGCGTGGAGACGATCTCTCTGCCCGGAGTCACCCCTCTCGGCCTTCACCCAAGGCCAGGCTCGAAACTCCGGGTAGGCCTACGGGAACGCTGCCTGAGTGCATCCGAGAGGCGTGAGACGGGCTCATCAGACGAGGGGTAGGATGGCGGCTTCTCTTTCTTTTTCGTGGTGTGTGCGGTGCGGTTGTTTCTTTTTTCGGTGTGCGCGCCCCAGTCCGTTAGAGTGTCGTGAGAGGGAATGCAGCTGCTGCTATTCGATCGTTCGGTGGGTTCGGGAAGGGGGTCGGCGAGATCCTCTGGAAGGCGGCGAAACGTGCTGCAGAACAAGCTGACGCGGGCCCAGTACCTCGACGAGGTGACTTGGACCACCAAGAACTGGCTAGGGCTGCAGAAGCAGCGTATCTCAGTCGTTCTTCACACAGCATGAGCAAAATCGCAGAGCCGGATTGTGAGTGAGCTTGCCTGCTGCGAGGGCGGTCGAGTGCACGGAGCTAAGTGCCTCGCCGTCCTCGCAGGAGTCGCTTAGGCGGCTCCCGTGGTGTACCTGTGTTAGTGCCAGTGCGCGCCAGTCCCGTGCCCAGTGTCATGCGAGGGAGTTCCGTGGTAAAATTCTTTTTTCGGTGTACCTGTGTAAGAAAGAAAACAGAGAACCCAAGGGAGGGATGGGAGGACGGCACGCCGCCACCACACAGGGATTTTAAGGAGAGGGGTGTGGTGCGCTAGCCGTCGCCCACCCTTGCGCCTTGGGCGTCCGCCTCTTCCTATCTCCCTTCGCAGTCCCTCGCCGATTCTCGCTGCAACCTTCATGCCTGTGGTGTACCTGTGTTATGCCAGTGCGGGGTGTGAAAATTCTTTGAAGCCGTCGCCCGCGCACAAAACTGAAATTCTTTTCGCACGACACTGTGCGACTTGGAAACTGCCCGGCCGGCCTGTCTTAGTCCCAGTATATATCCAGAGAGGCATGTTGAGAGCTCTTGAGGCTCTTGAGGCTCGCTCTTGGAGAGCGGTCTCAAAAACACTGGAACGTACTCGCTACATGAACGCCGCCAGGCTTTTGCACGCGACGAAGTTCCTCCGTACTCGCTCGGCCGTTGGAGCCCTGCGTGCTGGCGCCGCGACAGCGGTGGCAGCCGCCGTTGCGACATCGACCTCTGGCACTGCGTTCGCCGTCGCTGGCTGCCAGAGCGCCGAGTCACGGGCGGCGATCCCGCTCAGCTCCTCCTTCATCGCAGACGCGGCGGCTCGTGTGGCTCCTGCGCTCGTCAACATATCGGTGCAGCCGGCCGGCAGCGGCCTCCGCGCAGCGATGCAGGGAGCTTCCGGGTCGGGATTCGTCGTGGACCCATCCGGTCTCGTCCTCACCAACTGCCATGTGGTTCGCGACGCGGCGGCACGCGGTGGCACAGTGACGGTGACCCTCTCCGACGGCGTCACCCGGCTGCGCGGCGTCGTCGAGCACTCGGACGCCATTTCTGACATCGCGGTCGTGCGAGTGAACCACCACGCTGCACTACCCGCAGCAGAGCTGGGCTCGTCGTCCGACCTCCGGCCCGGAGAGTTTGTGGTGGCGCTGGGAGCGCCGCTGGGCCTGACCAACTCGGTCTCCTTCGGCATCGTGTCTGCCATCGAGCGCACCCGCTCGGAGCTCGGCTTGCACGACTCGCTCGGCGCACGGAACACGACAGCGTATATCCAGACGGACGCGTCCATAAACTCTGGCAACTCGGGCGGCCCGCTCCTCGACGTGCATGGGCGCGTGATCGGCGTCAACACCATGAAGGCGATGGGGATGGACGGGATCGCCTTCGCCGTGCCCATCGACGAGGTGAAACGCGTCGTGCGCCAGCTGACGGCGCACGGCCGCGTCCTGCGGCCGTACCTCGGCCTCAAGTTCATCGAGCTCTCCGAGCCGGTGGCGGAGGAGCTCAACGCACGCGCCGCCGAGAAGGAGTCGCGCGGGCTCTTTGGCGGCGGCCACGTCGCGCGCGTGCCGGCGCGAGGCTTGTACGTGATGCACGTGACGCCCGGCTCGCCGGCGCAGCGCGCGGGCTTCCGGATCGGCGACACGATCGTGGGGATGCGGGCGGGGTCGCCGGCGGCAGAGGTGGTCTCGACCAAGCAGATGGTCGACGGCCTGTCGGAGCACGTCGGCGGGCAGGTCGAGCTCGAGGTCTCGCGCGACGGCGAGAAAGCCAACAGCTGGCTCGAGGTGACGGTCGAGACGATGCAGACCTGAGGTGCTCTGTCTTCGCCTTCAGCGTCGGCGGGCGCTAGCTCTAGATCGTTGGGATGTGACTGCTATACCCACGGTGGGAGTTTTGGGGTCGGGCTCCCGCGCTGGTCACGTGCTGCCAGGGAACATCCACGCCCGAGAGGAGCGAATCGACTGACTGTTAGGACAGCGTGACACTTCACACCCATCGGATTACGTCTTCGCCCCTTATCAGAGCGGCCGCCGCTTGAGAGAGGGAGGGAGGGAGAGAGAGAGAGAGAGAGACATCTTGAGGCAGCCGATTGCTAAAATTCTCTTTCCCATCTTCATACTCTCCGTCTGAGACTGACGCGCCAGCCCGGTAGTGGCACGACCGGCCGAATCCACAGGCCTTTGCCGTGTCCTGCTGCCGCGTCCGAGACAACACTCGAATGTCCATCGTCGACCTCCTCGGCACGTCGCTCAAGTCGAAGGCTGGCGACGTCGAGACCGCCACCGCGCTCAAGGGAAAGGCCGTCGTCGCTTTGTATTTCTCAGCGCACTGGCGAGCGGCGCACCGCCGATGAGGACCGGCACCGCCGTCGTGACTCATCGCTCGCCCCTCCACGCCACAGGTGCCCACCCTGCCGCGGATTCACGCCGGTGCTCGCCGACAAGTACAAGGCCCTCGTCGGCGATGGCAAGGCCTTCGAGGTGGTTTTTGTTTCCAGCGACAAGGACGAGGCGTCTTTTGATGAGTACTATGCAGAGCAGCCCTGGCTCGCGCTTCCTTTCGGCAGCCGCGACGTCAAGGCCGCGCTTTCCAAGAAGTACAAGGTGTCGGGCATTCCGTCGCTAGTTTTGCTCGACGGCGACGGCGCGATCATCACCAAGGACGGAAGGCGACCGCCGTTAGTGCCCACACACCGTCGCTACACCGTGCATCACCGACCGGCACCCCCTCGGCGCAGGTCTGCAGTGATGGAGGGCGATTTCCCGTTCACACCGCCCACGTTTTGGGACTGCCTGGGCGACGAGTTTCTCATGCAGGACGGCGACGCCGCCGAGGTGAGCCAGCTCAAGGGGGAGGGCAAGGTGATCGTCTTGTACTTCTCGGCGCACTGGTACGACTCGCCGCGGCCTCCCCCGCCGCCGCACGCGTCCGTTCGCAACCGTGTGTATACGACGCCCGCCCTCGCAGGTGTCCGCCGTGCCGCGGCTTTACGCCCGAGCTCGTCAAGACGGTGGGCAAGCTCAAGGCGGCGGGCAAGGCGTTCGAGATCATCTTTGTCAGCTCCGACCGCGACCAGAAGAGCTTCCAAGAGTACTTTGGCAGCATGGGGCCCCACTTTCTGGCCATCCCGCAAGGCGACCCGCGCAAGGCCAAGCTGTCGTCCTTCTTCGGCGTCGAGGGCTCGCGAATCGCATGTTTTGACGAGGTGTCAACCGCGGCGCCTCACCTGTGGTTGCGCTGTGAACAGGCATCCCGACGCTAGTGACAGTCGACGGCGCGACAGGCACGACCACCCACGGCAACGCGACGGGCGCTGGACCTCCCTCGAACCTTCTCGGAGCCGTCCCATAGGTGCAACCATCAACGGCAACGCGAGGGGCGCGTGCGGCGGCGATCCCGACGGGCTCGCGTTCCCGTGGGCGCCCAAGCCGGTCGTCGATTTTGCCGACGGCTGCGACGGCATCAATGACACGCTCTCCCTCTGCCTCCTCCTGGAGGGCTGCGGTCTAGAGGTGCAGCAGGCGGCGATAGCCGCGGCGACGCCGCTGGCGGAGGCGGCGAAGGCTTCGCAGGAGGAGCTCTGCTTTTTTGCCGCCACCAAGGTGGAGGGGGGGGCCGTGAGCCAGATCCGGCAGATGACCAAGCTGGGCGACGCCGGCAGCGCGCCAGCCATGATTCTCCTCGACATCCCCGACGAAGGTGGAGGGGGGGGGCCCGTCTGGTTCGCGCCGCGATGCATCTTCACGCCTCCCGACGTGAACAGGTGCGTACTACGTGAGCGACGCGACCGAGGCGACGGCCACGACGATCCAAGCCTTCCTCGCCGCCTACAAGGCGGGCACGCTCGATCGCAAGCAGCTGGGCCAGTGAAAACATCGATCGAGAGAGTTCGCACGCGCAGAGCCAGAGGCAAGATTAGTACGGTGTGTTGTTTCTTGTATGAAAAAGGAAAAGGTAAGATGCGCGACCCGGCGCAGTCCAAAGCAGAGCGAGAGGCTCAGCGGCTGTGACACAGATGCAGCTGCACAGACGATGCGGGATGGCTGCAGAGCCTCGCTCCTGCGTGCGAAAAGAGAAGGCAAGCCCAAACAGGTCCTAGGTCCCAGAGCCGTAGAGGTCGTTGAGCATGCTCTGCATAGAAGGCTCGACGTCCGCGGCCATCAGGTCAGCCGGCGGAGCTTCCATGGCTTGCAGTGTCACGTAGAAAAACACGACGACGCCCAGCGCGAGCGAGGCGCCTACGGCAGCGGCGGCGGGCGAGCGGCCAAAGACAGACGCAAAGGGCGCGAGCAGACCGATGATGAGCCCGCTAATCGCGGAGACGCCGAAGCGCATGAACCGGCCCACATTCTCCCAGAACGGCGCCTCCTCCATGCGGACGTCTCTGGTGCGCCGCACGACGCCGCGACGGCTGCAGGGTGAGCTGCACGCCGCCGCACGCGAGGGGCTGAGGGCGGGCGCAACGCACAGGTGCCTGGCCGCCAGGCCCGCGGCGAGAGGCGCGGCGGAGAGCAGCAAGAGGAGGATCGCTGCTCCGGCCCGCATTTCTTCACAGCCGTTCAGAAGAATTCTTAGTATGGTTCGGTAGGCAGGTAGGTAGGTGTTACCTCACACTGTCTAGGCAGAGACAAGGAGGACCCCCGCACACACGAACCCACACATACAGAGAGGGACGAGTGCACGCATTGGGCATCAGAGAGCCGTAAGTGTTTGTTGTTGTTTGGCTTGAGATCTCTCTTGGCTTGAGCCAAGCAGGCACACCCGCGCGCGAGTGATTAGGCCAGGCCCGAAGCCTGACTCAAGCCAAGAGGCGCAGCGAAGCGCTAACGCGGGCCATCGTGGCCGCGGTGCAGCCCCGCACGGGTTTAGTGCGCGAGATGCGCTCGGGCGACGGAGGAGCCGGAGGCGGGCGGAACTCGGCCGGGGCGAGGCCTGACCGCAGCGTCTCGCGCCACGCAGCGCGATCAGCCGCGAGTAGATGCCAGCGCGCCGAGTCGATGCCGAATTTCGCGAGTGCCTTGAAGATCGACCGCCCGTAAGTCATGCGCTGTGGTCATGCGCGGCGCACCGATGGGCCGCCGGTGGGGCACCCACGCGGAGAGCATGCGGCGCGGCAGCCGGTCGTAGTCCATGCGCGCGACGTGGCCGAGCCAGCGCAGCTGGCGGCGGGCGATGTACATGTACATGTCGATCGAGTCGGAGCCCCAGCCGCTGGCTGAGCTCCCACGCTTCATTAGGTGCAGGTGTACACCTTGTACCGACACAGAGGTAGGCGCGCAGCGCCCACACCCTCTACCTAGGTGTGTGAGTGAGTGCTATACCTTAGCGCACCTTATACCGAGGTACCCTCCACATGTCCACACCGGTACCTGGGGTACTCTCGAGACGTTCACACCGGCGGTGCGCGCGAATAAGGTGTGCACCGCCCGTCGCGCGAAACGCAACACACAGCTCTCATGGCGCCCAAGAAGCCCACCTCCACGCAGAACACGACGCTCCAGACCATGGGCATGGACGTGATCAAGCAGTACCCGGGCCCGGCCGGACAGTGACGGCCCTCGGCTCCCGGACAGCGCGGAGCAGAACGCGTCGTACGCGGGCACGGCCGTCGAGTTCACGGTGAAGTACGGCAACGTCGACCCCCATCGAGCTCCGACGCTCTGCCGCTTCGGCTGCGCCATCCTCGGGCTCGGCCAGGCCGCCGACCCACCCTCCGCCGACCCGCTCCGTGACGTCGACATGTCGCTGCTCCAACGCGCCAGTGTTCTCCAGAATGCTGCTATGAGTGAGTAGCGTGTCGGGCGGGGCCGTCGGGAGGGGCGGCGGGGGCGAGCGTGTGTCCGGCGAGGCGCCCACATACCTCACCCGTACCTTTACCGAGGTAGCGCGCGGTGTCCTATACCTCCACCTTAGGTAAGTGGCCCATGTCTGTACCTTACTGTACCTCTACCAAGTGTGCCGGCCAGCGCCCACACCGGCACCGGGGGTAGGGTCAGAGGGACTGCACCCAAGGTGTTGAGGTGAGCACCTAATGTAGTGTGGCTGAGCTCACACGTCGAGATGTGATGGTGCCACATGCACATGCACAACAACATGTACATGTACATGTGCTTACGCGTGACTCGACACATGCCTCGCACGTGCAACGCGTGCATGCGGCGCAGCCGCCCGAGCAGCACCTCGGTCAGACTCCACGACTCGCAGCCGTAGAGGGTGATCGAGAGCACGACGGCCTCATACACCACACGTCGGGCTGCGCGAGTGACCGAGTTCGAGGCGAAAAGACAGCCGCGTAGCGCACCAAACGCCTTGCTGCCCGACACGATCCGCGCGTCCACCGCCCCGTTGTCGCCGCCGTGCCTCGTAATGTCTAATTAATGATGTCGCCGAGGAGGGGAACGAGGTGACGATGGGCATGAAGCCGTAGTCGGGCAGTAGTATCGGCGAGAGGTCAGCGCCGTCGAAGGTGAGCGGGTTCGAGTACACGAGCTCGAAGACCCGCGCAGAGTGTCGCCGAGCCTGGCGTGCCCGCCCGCTCGACCGCGGCCGCAGGCGTGGAAGCCAATCATCCTGGCGTCTATGGCAAGCGCTCACATGCCAAAAGACACCGCGCAGCGGCGCGAGACGTGACCAAAGCGGCACGTCTCGGCACCGACCGCGAGAGCAGCCGGTCGACGTCGGTACCAAGGAAACCAAGCGCGCGGCCGCCGGGCGCCTCCGAACCGACAGGGGCGCCGCGGCAGTAGAGAGCACTCCACCGCCATACCGTTTTGATGGCGGGTCAACTGCCTCTCTCTCGTTGTGTGAGTGTGAGTGACACACACACAGACACAGACGTTTGTAAAACTTTCAGCGCACCCTGTCAGCAGGGAGGCCGAACCGTCGAGGTGTGGCGGGCGGGGCGTTGCGCGGGTTTGCGAGAGCACCACACCCCCAACAGTTCCCGTGGGCCGACGCCGTTCACTGATCCGGCCAGATCGCACCCAGTACGGCGCACCCATGGCCCTCGGCACTCACACTGCCTGTTGCCGTTGGCAAAGTCGGGTAATGACGTAGAAAGAACACGCGCTCCTCTATCGCGCCGCACGTCCAGGAGGTCACGCCCACCACCTAGGCGGATCCGCCACGCCCAACCCGTCTTTGATAGGTCTCCTGACGCTGCGCTATGCCGGCAGCTGCAGCGGCCCAAAGCACCGAGGCTGACGCGGCGACGCTCACCCTTGGCGAAGGTCGTGCGCCCGACGCGCCCGCCTTTCCCACGCCATCTAACACCCACCTATTCCGCCGCCACCGCGCCGGGTCGCGCGCCGAGCGGTCGCCCGCCCGCCGGTTGCCGCGCAGATTTCCAAGACGGGCGGTGCCTTCTCAACTCGGAGGTGGCCCTCATCCTTGAGCACAAGCTGCAGGCGTCCAACGCCAAAGGGCAGACGCCCGGAACGTGCGCCCCCCCCCCCCCCCCTCCGGGTCCCATGACGACCCATGACGACCTAGCGGGTGGGGCGCCCCACCTCTCACATGCAAGCCCCCCCCGCGCGCCCCGGTGCAGCAACTTTGTCAAGGCGTTCGAGTACGTCAACCGGGTCAAGCAGTTTAGGACCAAGGAGGTCATGGCGCGCGTGCGAACGTGCGCGCGCCCAGCCATTTCCCACTTGGCCGCCTAGCCGCGGCAAGCGGCGGTGACGCTCACGCGTGTCCCCAATCCGCCCCCCGCCGCGCGCAGCGAGCTGGAGAAGCAGCCCATCGCCGAGTTTGAGGTGGCGCAACTCGGGAACCTCTGCCCCGAGGACGCAGACGAGGCCAAGGCCCTCATTGCCTCACTCGCGCTGCCAACGCTCGAAGGGATGGCGCGAGATATCGACTCGGCGCAGCTGACCGAGGTGCTGCAGGGCATCTGCGACTGCAGACAGTTCGACTGATCACCGGAAGCATGGCGGGCAGCAGCAGCGCGCGGGCATGAACGTTGATACATTCGGCATCAGGGTGCTTTTTCCGCACAAAATAAAAGATGACATTGCACAACAAAAGGCGCGCCCTCGGGGCAGGGGGCACACATACACACCGCACACATACACACACACACACACACACACACACACACACACACACACACACACACACACGTACACACCACACACACACACACACACACGCACACACGCACACACACGCACACACGCACACGCACACACACACCGCTGAGAGATGGGCTCAGGTAGGAGGCTCCACACCACCTGACTCGCGTCGTGCCACCTGACTCTCGCCTGGAGAGGCCTCTTAGCCGAGGCACACGTGGCAATCGCCACGTGCGCCACCAGGGATTTCGGCCATTTTAGAGCCTTGTGCACAAAAATGCAGGTGACTTCAGCCACTTGCTCCATGAGCAAAACAGTGCAAAAAGCACCTGGAGCAGATGGCTTACGCCGCCTGTGGACATGGGCAAAACAGTGCAAAAAGCACCTGGAGCAGATGGCTTACGCCGCCTGTGGACATGGGCAAAACAGTGCAAAAAGCACCTGGAGCAGATGGCTTACGCCGCCTGTGGCCATGGGCAAAACAGTGCAAAAAGCACCTGGAGTAGATTCCAAACGCCGCCTGTGGCCATGTGAGCGCTCGGGTGGCGCCAAGGGCTTCGGCCCCCTCCAAGCCACCTACCTGCCCCGCCCCCCTCGCCACACGAGGAGGGCTGGAGCACGTGCGCCACCTGGGCCTGGGCAGGTGGCTCCAGGTGGCTTCGGCCCCTCCAAGCCACCTGCATGCCCCCCCTCGCCACACCTGGAGGGCCGGAGCACGTGCGCCACCTGGCGCAAGTTTGAATTCGGAAACGGAAAATCCGAGCCACGGAAGGGCTGGCCTGCCAAACGCGAGCCTCCCCGCTCCTCCCCGCGCTGCAAACTGGGACTGTGGGGTGTGTGAATGAGGGCCTGCGGCGGTCATCGGCGGCTACAATCAATGTCCGGCGTCGACATAAGCCTGGGGCTTCAACCCGGCCCGCGCGGGCGTTTGGTGTGGCTGCAAACGCCGCAGGAGCCGGTGGCTGCGCTGCTCACGCGCCGTTGCTGCCGACGCTGAGCAGTCTGACTCGCCAATGAGAAGACTGCCCAATAATACGCCATCACTCGATCCCCGATAAACCAGGCCATGCAGAGCTTTGTCGGCCTCGCCGACGTCGTGTGCTGGCTGCGCGGTAGAGTTGCGAGAGTGGATTGTGGAGGCGCGGCGGGGGCGGCTCGTGGTGCCGAGGCGGTGTATAGTACATTCCTATTCAAAAAAACACGCACGATGAAATTCCCGAAGTGACGCCCAGGTGGCGCACGTGCTCCAGCCCTCCAGGTGTGGCGAGGGGGGGCATGCAGGTGGCTTGGAGGGGCCGAAGCCACCTGGAGCCACCTGCCCGGGCCCAGGTGGCGCACGTGCTCCAGCCCTCCAGGCAGGTGTGGCGAGGGGGGGCAGGTGGCTTGGAGGGGGGCGAAGCCACCTGGCGCCACCCGAGCGGTTACATAGCCACAGGCGGCGTTTGGAATCTACTCCAGGTGCTTTTTGCACTGTTTGCCCATGGCCACAGCCCACAGGCGGCGTAAGCCATCTGCTCCAGGTGCTTTTTGCACGGGTTTGTCCATGTCCACAGGCGGCGTAAGCCATCTGCTCCAGGTGTTTTTTGGACTGTTTTGCTCATGGAGCAAGTGATCTGTGATCTGTAAGGGTCCGAGGCGACCAAGGCGGAAGTGGCGGTACTCGCTCCCACGCGGCGCCGCCTCGCCGCCGCCCTCCACACCCACGCGCCCCCCTACCCCCCCCACACGCAGGCTTGCCGCCCAACGCGACGCCAGCTGGCGGCGGCGGTGGCGGGAGGCTGGAGCAAGTACAAGGACAGTTTTCCTTTCTGGTCGCCAGACCCCACCCGCCGGGCGCAGCAGGAAGCATGGTTCGAGGAGGTTGCCATGTTCGCGGAGCAGGCCGGTGTGGACGGCATGCTGTACCCGTGGGGAGGGGACTGGTACGATGACGATGCTTCCGACTACGATGAGGAGTACCTCCCGTGCCATCGTGAGGATGTGCTGTTCGATCTCGACTCCAACGGTCGGAGGCCGACAGCTGCGGAGCTCGCGCCTCTGGCGTGGCCGCACAGCTGCTGGTGGCACGACCGGGACCGAATCGTCCTACTGTGTACATGCACATGCTCGACAACCCGCCTGATGGCAGCTTCCTTTGGGAGGCTCGCGTGTGCGAGCAGGTGCACGCTCTCTGGTCAGACGGCCGGGACAGCCCCCGCACGTCGATCAGCTATGTCCGACAGGGACGACTAGAGGGGGCGCTCAGGGGGCGCGACCGGCATCGACAAGGGCGGAGGCGGAGGCGATGCGTGAGGAGGGTATGAGGATGGCTTTCTCAGACGGTGCACTTCCCGGCGGCGAAGACATTCCTGGCGCGGCTTTCGTGGTGGGCCGTGCCGTGACGGCACCGCGACGTCTCATGACGCATCAGTGCTTTGAGGATGAGGCGGCGCCTGGCTGGCGCATGCTATCCTCACTACCCTCGTGTCCCAACCCGCACATGCGGTTCCCGATGTCGAGTGTAGCTTGCGAGAGATTGTGAGCCGCGGGGGAGAGCCCCTCAAGCCACTCTTGCCGCGCACTGCATGCAAATGCGGACAGCGAATCGGGGAGCGAAGAGGCGAGGCGTATGACGCGGATGATTCGGAATCGGATAGCGAAGAACGTCGAGAAGAGATCCCAGTAGAGCCCCGAGCATGCATCTTGTGTTTATCAGAGGACTGGGGGTCGTTCGTAGAGTCTTTGTGCGATACAGGAAGTATTGATGGTTTGTTACCCGTACACAGCTCACGGCCGTACCGTACACCTCTCTCACTCACTATTTGCCAGCCGCGCACCGTCTATCAGTATCACCCTGAACGCCTTGCCTATCACGATGGTTGCAACTGAAAAACCTCGAAGCCCTGGCAGCCCTCCCCCTACCACTGTTTAATGCCGTCGCGAAATCGGTCATCGCGAATGCGCCGTCGCATTCCTGCTGTGTGATGCTAATAGCAGCGAGTGTTGTTGCAAGTGGCCAAGCAGCTGAGAGCCTCGGGAGTGCCATCAAGGATGCTCGTCACGATGCCGGGAGCGACAAGGGAGAGCCACGTCCTTTGCGCAATGGTGACCTGATCCGGAATGCAGACACGCGCCATATGGCTCAGGCGCTCTTCCCGATGCTGGATCAGAACCAGGACGGCCATCTGTCACGTCGAGAGGCTGGCGCGTTGGGTGCTGCACTCGGCGGGGGTGGAACTGCCGAAGCAGACGCTGCGTTCAAAGCAATGGACGGTGACGGTGACGGTCTCGTGAATGAAGCAGAGGCCGTCGCATTCTTCGAGGCGATGGAGAGCCACCTTAAAGGCACGGATCGAGGTCCTGCAGGGGTAGATTCGACGTTCGGAGTCGCAGCCAAGTCAGAGCCTGCGCAGGCAATCCGATCGGGCACGTCCGCCCTAGCGGCAGCTGGCGTACTATGCCACACACCGATCGACTCACGTCAAAAGCGGTTGCTGCATCGGCTCGACGGCACCCCCGAGGAACAGTCAGCCGCTGTTTTGGCCCATGCACGGGCTGACAAGAAGAGGGTGGCGGAGAAGCGCATCCTCGTGCAGTTTCAGGCAGACCTAAACCACGCCAATTCGAAGGAGGAGGTGCACCCTCCATGTCACGTGCACCTCCCTTCGCCATCTCCGACCCCCCCCCCCCGGCCGGTCAGGTGGAGGCCTCACTGGCGGAGGTGGGAGCACCCGCCAGTCTTGGGATGTGGAGAGCCCATTGTAGAGGATAACGTCCCTTTCGTAGGTGCAGCGAGAGCTCATCGAGCTGCACGCGGGCAACGCGGACTGCCTCCAGGCGGGCGTCCCGGCGCTAATGGAGTCTGTCGCTCGAACAGCGCGCGCGGACTTTGCCGCCAAGACACGGAGAGACGAATTGTGACCCTCTGCCTCCCCGGAGTTGCAACCACGGGGTAAAGCTCGGTCAAACTGACTGCTGCTACAGACTGTGAGCTTCTTCTCTCCACAACTAGAGCGGCCGTCCTCCAATTCTGCGCCGTCTAGGGTGTCTTCACTCAGTATGTGAGGAGGGGTGTCACGAGGCCGCCACTTCGTGACGTGATAGATCTCCGACGACCTCCGAGGGTTCGGCTCCATTAGGGGTAGGGGATCATACTGTTCACAGATTTCTTTTTTATGGTCACGTGGCACTGGACGCGCGGATTCTCAATATATGCCAGAATGCACTTTCTCGCCCAACCCCTCAAATTTTCTGAAAGAAATGCCGGAATAGTACGGAAAGGCCAACTGGTGAGCCGTACCAGAGAGAGCGAGGACCAAAGGGGTTGTGAAACCACAAAGCCAGGACCTGCAGCCTTCGAGAGAGAGATTTTTAGCAATAATACCAACTCACACTGGCACATCATTTGGGGCCTGCCCCTGCAGATCGTAGTTTATGGTGGTTTAAAGTTTGCGGGGGGGGGGGGGGGACGGCTTTGGGCGGTCAAATTCAATTTTGGCGGTTTACGACGGTTTTTGGGATCCTGCCGACGCGCTACAGCTGCACATAAGATGGACACCTCAACGGGAGGGCACTCGCAGCAGGCGGGGCCGAATCCTGCAGCCTTAGTCGTGGCCCGATCCGGCGGCATGCCACGGGTAGGCGCGTTGAGGCTTGCCGCCTCCTCTGCGCCAACGCTGCCTGTGCCGCAGCTTGCGTTTGCTGCCAGACAAGAGGAGGAGCAGGGCATTTTGGCGATAGGACCAGGCCCTGTTCACGCGCGCGCGAGACGTGCAGACAGGGTTGGGGCTCTCCTGCTCCTGACAAGGGACACGACAGGCTCGCAGCGCGGTGCACGGTGGACTCCCAACTCCACTGGCGGTCTCATCTCAGTCTAGCGACCTGCCTCCAAGCTTCTCACTGGCAGTCTCTCGCAACCACAGGCACACTGACACAGGGGTGGCAGGGGCGGCGGCAGGAGTCTCCCACATACTATGCGGGCCTCGCTAGAGGTGCGTCCTGCCTGTGTGTGTCCTCGCCCTTTTGTGGGGGAAGGAAGGGGAAGGGGCCGCTGTGTGCGTGTGTGGGCGTTGTGCGAGCCGCCCTGAACGCCACGAGCGCGCCGCGAAAAAGAAAGAAAGAAAGAGACACGCCAAGGGAGGGATGGGAGGACGGCACGCCGCCACCACACAGCGCGCCGCGAGCGTGTGGTGCACTTGGAGCACTTGGAGTGCAGTGAGTAACTTCATTTTGTAAGATTCTAAAATTCTTCTTGAGACAGGTGTATATTATTTTTGCTTGGGGCGGCCCTCATGACGGGGTAGGTAGGGTAGGTCTGGGCCCTCCCGTCGGGTTTTTCCCTCTCTTCACGCCGGAATTTTCACAGCAGAAAAAGAAATTTTCCGCCCAAATCACGATGTCAACCCTCCCCAAGTCGTTGATCTGGTGCTTGTAGGGCTTGAGAGTGGCCTGCCATGTCACAAGAAGGACTGTGGTTGCAGGAGAGTACCACCAACCATCACTCTAGTTGGTATAGTACCCCACCTTCACCCATCGAGTGTTTTCTTTTTTAGTTTCCCATAAGTAAGGTAGGTAGGTAGGTAGGTAGGTAGGGGCACCGCAGGGGCCGGTCAGGTTTTTCCAGAATTTCATCATGAGGGCCGCCCCAAGCAAAAATAATATACACCTGCTTGAGAGGGCATGGCCGCCGGATATTGCACATTGCCGCCGGTCTTCGCCCCCTCGAGACACTCCTCTCGACTGCGCCAATCACAGGGATTGAGCAAAGCGTCCCCAAAGGTGTGTCCGCTGTGACCAGTGGCTGCTCGTTGCATGAGCTACGACTCGGGCCGGGTCTGCTCGACTTGGAGACACACACCCCACGAGCGACTCACACACCAAACGCCTCGGCGTGGGCCCGGCAGAGGCAACAATCGAAAGCGGCCGCCTATATCTACGTCTCCCCATCTCGCCGAGGAGGAGGACGACATCGAGGCGCAGGCGCCGCCGCCCACGACGTCGCCCGCTCCTCGGCCTCGCGGCGGGCGCTGCCGCCAGTGCCTCGGTTGGGGGGTGGGCAAGTTGATGTGGCTGCTCGTGCTCCTCTCGCTGGGGCTGAACCTTGCGCAGCTTCTCACGTGGAACGAGCTCGAGACGCACAAGGAGTGGGTACGCCGTACCGCAACCGCCGTCCGCCGCCGTGCCTCACATGTCGGCGCAGGTCTTGCTGCCCTTCCCTTTCACACTCCGCTCTGCGTCCACGTCCACGTGCCCTGACCCTCTCATCTCCTCGGTCTCCCGCGCAGCCCTCATGGCTGGGGTGAGCGAACCACTCGACGTCGACGACCTTGGGGACACTGGTGCGCTCACCAGCTGCCGATACTCACGCTGACCCCCTACCCCACCTCCTGCCCGCTACACGGCGCTCATCATTGGCTGCACCACGTACCCAGGTGCGCCGCGCGACGACGCCCTCCCTTTTGACGACGAGCTCGTGCATCAGCGGCGCGGTGGCGCACGCTTGCGGCAGCCTCCGCCTCCGCCACAGCAGCAGCGGACCGGGGGTCAGCCGCAAGGGCGGCAGGCTGCACCCGCGAGCACGGGCGTGACGTGGCCGAAGCCACAATCGACCCAGCCGCCGAACCAGCCGCCGCCGCCGCAGCAGGCGCGGCAGCGGGCTGCTAGCACCGTGGTCTCGCTCGGGGCCCCGGACGCCAGCGCCGCGGCGGAGGGGCCAGCGGCCGCGTCGGAGGCACTGCTCGCGCGGCGGCGGGAGGCCGTGGGGGAGGTACACCCGCGGTTGCGGCTCGCGCTCACGCTTCCGTGGGTGGGGAGCACCTTTCCCTCCTGGTTCCCCTACTTCCTCGCGTCGACGAACCGCTCGTCGTACCTCGTCGACTGGCTCATCTTTCACGAGGAGGCGCGGCTGCCGCCCGCCGGGGAGGTGCCGCCCCGCTCCGCCCCCCTCACCCTCGACGGTGCCAGCCTAGCTCTCGTCTCCCTCTCGGATGTAGGTGCCGCCCAACGTGCTCTTTTTTGACCTCGGACGCGGCGGCCTCGGCTCGCTCTTTGGCCTCAAGCTCGCTTCCGCCCTCGGCGCGACCAACAAGCTGACGCGGTGCGCGGCCCGCCTCCGCTACACGCCCGCATATGCTCCCCGCGCCCGAGTGTCCCCCATGACATACGTCCGCTCAGGTACATGAACCTCTTCCGGGCCGCCTTCCGCGACTTCGCCTACATCATAACCGAGTACAAGCCGACCCACGGCACAGTGTTTGCCGACTACCTCGCTGGCTACTCGCACTGGTCATCGCACCAACTCGGGGCGGCACCTGTGCGTGACATGACCGCTGAGAGCGCGACACGACGCTGTAGGTCGTACACCGATTCGGACGTCCTCGTCGGCGACTTGCCGCTCCACCTCTCCCTCGAGGAGCTGACCGAGTATGACGTCGTCACGTACCACTTTGGCGACGCCTTCCGCCTCTACTTGCGCGGCCAGTTTAGTCTGCACCGCAACACGCCGCGCCTCGCGCGCCTCTGGACCGCTTGCCACCACCTCGGCGCGCGACAGCTGTCGATTCGCTGGAGCCGCGACGGGGTTTGCGGTGACGCGCGACGTGACTGCTCCACAGGCGCGGGGCTGCTCGACGAGCTCGAGGCCAAGCACATGCTGGTTAAGCGGCTCGCCGCAGAGGGCAAGCACGGCCGAACCCGCTTCCTATCGGCGGAGGGGTGCTACTCGCATGCCGTTGCGAGCGCGTCTGGCATCCGGCTCAAGTTTGCGGCAAAGGCGTTCGCCGACTGGAGCGACGACCGCGAGTTTTATTTGGTGGGCGGGCAGCGCGCCGCTGCCCGCAACGGACGGCGTCATTTATCCGAAGGAGTGTGAATAGGTTGACGGCGCGGTGCGCCGATGCCCGCAGCCGACGCAGACGTGGCTACCACCGGGCGAGGTGCCACCCCTAACTCTCAACCCGTGCATCCTCCGCTGCTTTCCCCAAGCCTTCTCGGAAACCCCTTCTCGGCACTCTCGTCCAGGCGCCGCCCCTCGACCTCTCCAACCCGTGGGCCGATGAGGCGGGCGGCCCTACGCGATCCAGTTCCCGCCCCCAGTCCCCCCCCCACAGCTCCAATTCGCCCCAGATGGCACACTCCCGACCCCCCACACACAGCTCCATCTCGCCCCCAGAGGCGAGACACTCTTCGCTCTCGCTCGGGGCCCTGTTTATTGTGCGCATGCGGGCACTGGTCAACACCCTTTGACCTGCTTAGGTGGGCGAAGCGGCTTGCGAGCCGCTCGCGCCGGCCGCAGCTCCTCTCTCGGACGCGCTGTGCGCACTCGTAGATGCGGAATTCCTAGATCCCTGCTCGTTTGGAGGTTGCCACGCCATTTGGATACCGAATGGCGCCATGATCCCTCTAGACGGCAGTCTCGACGAGGCCCGCCGGCGTTGTATGATCCACGTCTTCACCGTCCCCCACCGCTCTCTCACGTAGGCCCGCACTGCAGCGGACCCAGGGCGCGCCGGTGGCGCTGGCGATCCACGCCAATTGCTCGCGGTGGATCGAGGAGCGCTACCGGCTGTGCGCAAACATGAGCGAGGATGAGGCGGCGGTCGGGTACGAGGTGACGCTGCGCGACGGCGCTTGGAGCGCGCGGCGCGTGGTGGCGGCAGCGCCCCGGGGCGGCCCAGCCGGCTACCTCGAGGCGGCGTTCCTCCACCTGCAGCGCTGGAAGGCGCAGCTCGGGCGCTTGCGCTATGGCGACGCCGCGCTGCCGCGCATCCGCGGCCGCCGACTGTTCAAGTTGTCGCTGCGCGGTTTCGAGCCCATCGACGTCGAGTACGACCGAGCGCGTGGCGCTTCTCTCGTCACGTATCGCCCGTACCGGCCAGAGCCGGCGTCCGCAGACGCCGCGCCGCTCCTCCATCGCGACGTGGCCGAGCTCACCGACGAGGAGTGGCGCGCGCTGGAGGAGCGGCGACGGACCGCCAGAACGCCTCCGCGATGACGAGAAGCATTTTATGTGTGTGTGTTGCGATTACGTGTTATTATTATTATGGCGAATAGTTTGATAGTGCTGTGTGTCTCGCGCAAGGGGTCAGCCGCTTGCCGAACCACCTCCGAAGGGGGGGGGTGGGGACGTACGCCAGCGGCACGAGGGCTTCAGGTTCTCAGGACTCAGCCCCACACAGCTACCATGGGAACGCGACCCACACAAAGCACCAAAGTTAGGCATACCTAGGGTGCCCACAGGGCCCAAAAAAAGAAAGGAAAAAAGAAATGGGGGACTCCCGATCGCAGCACTTCGTGTTGGAGAGTCGAGATATTGAGAGTGTGACTAGGAGGGTGGGACGCTGGGGATTCTCAAAGGTATACCCTTGGAATGGCCGGATCCAGCCTTAAAAGTACGAGATCGCGCGCGCTTCACGCACAGCACCGCCTGTTCTCCGCGCGGCTGTGTGACGACGCGTGCCGTGTGCCAGCAGAGTTGGGCGCGCGCGGCGCGACGGCGCCCGCGAGGGAAGGCGCGGGTGCAGCGGCCGCCGGCGGCCGTACCGCCCGCCAGCCGGCGCAGCAGCGGCCAGCGCAGCGGCCGCCGGCGCAGCAGCCAGATCAGCCGGTGCGCGCCTTGCGAGGCGAGTACTGCCGCCCGGCAGCCTTGAGGCGGCCGGGCGGCAGTACTCGTTCGAACTTTGCGAGCCGTGCGCGCGCCGAGGCGCCCGCGGCGCGCGCCCGCCCGGCTGCCAGTAGGAGGCGGCGCAATATGGCCTATAGTACAGCCCTTGAGGAGGAGGAAGAGGCTGGCTGGCAGTGCTGTATGCCGCCGGGGGCAGTTTTTGGGTGCTGTCCCCATCCCAGGGGGCTGCAGAAGGCGTCCGCAGCCGGGACAACCCGCCCCCCCAGCCGAGGCCGGTCGAAGCCCACTTGACCACAGCCATAAGGAGTCCTCTTGGTGCTCCTGGCGGCCGTTGGAATGGCGAGCGCGCGCCGATGGGGGGGGGGGGGGTCTTGCTTGCTCCACACCGAGCGCCATCGGTCCGGACCGGCGTGGTCACCGAGGGGTGGCCTGCACAAGGTCTGAGCCGCGGGCGCTCGGCGCCAAGTGCAGTGTCACGCTCGCGCTGGAGCGGGACACAATGGGAAACCCTCGTTTCCTATGAACTCGGTCCCCCAACGGAAGAGGCCTCGCTCCTATTGGAACACTCCAACATCAGATTTGCCTCGTGCGTCCCTTTTTGAGCCGGAAAGCTATTTTCTTTTGGGTCCTGTGGGCACCCTAGGGCCTAGCATACCCCCCGGCGCAGTGCCCCCGCTATGTGTCGCCGTTCGTCGGGGCACGCAATCCTGTGCAGTCGTCAGGGCAAGTGGGGGCGGGGTGGAGTGCCCAGCGTCTTTACCCTGGGATCTCTCTGCCCAGTCCGGGGGTGCGTCGAACCTTCCATCACCCTGGGAACTGTACCGTGTTTGTTATGACCCCCCCCAATGAACACACCAGTGAGGGAGGGCGAGACGATCGAGGGGTCCCGTACCATGCGGAACCGACCCTATCCAGTGCTCAAGTGCTCAAGTGGGAACGTCCGGGTTTTGGAAGTAAAGTTATTTTACTTCTTGGTTGGCGGCGATGCCGCCTGGCTTTCGACGAGATTCACGTCTGAAGCGCCGCAAAACATGATAGCTGGGCTCGTCAGTCCTCCTGTCGAGGCGCCCCGGCAAGAGTCCGACAACGACAGCTTGCCGGGTCAGGGCTACACGTCCAGCCACGCATCGAGTGACGACGAGCAACCAGCAATCCTGCTCCTCGACGACAGCACATCGTCCTCGCATGCCAATCAGAGAAGGCAGGCAAGCCAAGCATCGCAGTGACGCCCGATCGACCCACAGCGACCCCACGGCTGAAGATCCTGGCCTAGATCCTGGCAATATTGCGCTATCGCTAATTGTTGGCCCTGCGAACGACCACAGTGTGCCTGCAACCCACGGCCGCTCAAGTCTGTGGAATTTATTAACGCTCTTGGCATGCACGGCAGAAGAACGACATGCGCAACTTCTCCGATCCCCTTCTCGCTGCTTGAGATGGCTGCAAGAACACAGTATGGACCCCCACGAGGCTTTACCACATGCTAGGGGGGGGGGGGGTAGAAGCGATGTCCGCCTGCTCACGCTGCGGACCGATCCGATGCGGCCGCCAGTCTGCCAGAGTGCCACCGGACACGGGAGATGAAGGGAAGACGCACACGTCCATCCACACCGCTCACAACACCGCAGACGGTTGGAAATGTAAATGACAAGTGCGCGCGCCGCAGCCAGCGAGCCAGCGAAGAGAAAATTTGAGCCGGGGCTCCCGTTCACACTCGTGCCTGCCCACTTTTCTCGGGGCTGCGCCTGCGGCTCGGCGTCGTTTCTTAATTTTTCGCGGAAATCGCTCCGGCGTGGTTTGTGCACATATCGGCTGTGTGAGCTGCAGGGAGGAGTGTACTCTCGTTCCACGCCCCCTTTGGCAGAATATGAGGATTCAGGCGTCGCTTCAGAGGTTTTTGTCGCTTCAGTGAGGTGTCAAAGACAAAGTGCTCCGAGTTTATGGATGCAGAATGTACAAAAACAAACAGTCCTGTGTATAGGAGCCGGAAAAGAGCGCGAGGTGCGGGGGACACGAGGAGGCAGGCGGACCGCCTCGTCGGTGACTCTGCGCTCCTGCGGTCCTGCGTCCTGGTGCTGCACCTCCCCCCGCCGCGCCCCCGCCCGCCCGCCCGCCCGCCCGCCCGCCCCCAGAGAGTGCAGGGAGAGGTGAGAGAGCGCGAGCCCGCCATTTAACCTACATTTTAGCCCCCCGCTACCCGGTTGCACTCGTGCGACGTAGCGGGGGGCCACGACTACGTTTACGAAAACATAAGTAGTCCCGCGAGGTGTGAATTTGGCCGCCCAGTTAGCCCCCATTTTCCACTGGGGACGCTTTTCGTGGCAAACCTCGTCACAAGCTTTGGCGCCAAAGCAGATTTCACGGGCGTTCCAAGGGCCTGGCTCAAACCCGTCATGCTTTCGGCCCCTCGGGCCCGGTAAGCGGTATCGGTACGGCCCCGCAGGTGTGAAGCGGTACGCGGTACGCGGTCCGTCCGGGATCGCCGGTGGCGGTACTCTGGAGTACTGGCTGCGGCGACACATTCTCTTTCGCCCGCCGGGCTCGTCGTCCCGCAGAGCGCTTCGCTCGCTCCGCTCGCGTCTAGCCATCTCCCTATCAGCCGGCGCGGATGCAACAGAGTGGTGGCGACTCTTCGTCGGGGGCCGGCGGCTCGTCTCGCAGTCGCAGCCGCAGCCGCGACCGGCGCAGCCGCAGCTTCGACAGCCATGGTGAGCGCGGCCAACGCCGGGCGTCCCACAACGTCCAGCGCGACCGCTTGAGTGCTAGTAGTGTGCATGAGCAAGCTTATGCGCGAAATATCGACACATGCACAACAACATGTACATGTGCATGTGCATGTGCATGTGCACAGCCGGCGTGGGCGAGCGCAGCTCGCCAGACGGTCGCGTGCCGCAGCGGTCGTCGCGCTCAGTGATGCCTGTGGCGGTGTACCGCATGTCATGGGAGAGGAGCATCTTTGCGACGAGCCGCTGCCTATCGCAAGGAGGGGCAAAGGAGGCATTGTCGACGGAGAGCGTGCCGTCGACCGCTTGGCGTTGCGGCACTCCAGCGTAGCCTATGTACGAGCAAGCACATGAAAATGGCCCCTCTCCAGACCCACCCAGAAGCTTGCGCACCCACCTTAGGGCACAGCACTCGACGCCAAAGGGGCAGTTGTCGCTGCTCTCCGGCGCTCGTGAGCAGCCGATTGAGCAGCAGCGTTCGAGTGGAAGGTGATCGTCGGCGACAAAGTTGCATGTTCAAAGACTTACTAGGGTGCACGAAGCGGTTCAGCATCTAAAATGCGCCTGTATGTGCACATATGACCCACCATTCATTTGCCGCGCATCCCTTCCGTCCTGCTTTGCCAGGCGAGCGGCAGCCGAAGTTTTCCTACGTACTTTTACTCTCTCCATGTTTCTTTGACAGTTTCTTGGAAGTGACTGAAGTGGGAGCAGCCAGCTTCCACTTGCCCCAAACCTGAAAAAAGAAAGAAAAATTACGTGAGTTAAATCGCGGGAAAGACATACAAGTTAAAACGGAGGGAAGCTGTAAGAAGGTAAAAGAGAAAGAGGCACGAGAAAAAGCGAGTGACAATACTCGGCGATTCCCATCTCGTTCGCTCACGGCCTCCACGGCGCTCTCGGCGACGCTGATGCCACACGCGCCGCCGCACGCACTTTGCGAGGCGGATCTCGGGGCGACAACGCCTCCCGTCGCGACTGACGGTACGGCGAACTGTTTTCTCGCTACAGGGTAGCGGTACGGGGCGCCGGAGAGCCTAGCGGTATCGGTACGGCGCCCTCGGTGTGAAGCGGTACGCGGTACGGCCAGTTCCCTATACCGCGCCCGAGGGGCCTAATGCTTTCCTTCGGTCTCGACTTGAGTGCCGCTCGACTGGCGATGAAGAGCGACCCGTACGACGCGCACTTGTCGTCCTCCCTCCTCGCCACATGACGGCCGCCCCCCGACACAGACAGTCGCGCTCCGCACGCCTTCGAGGTCAGCTGCGGCCAAGCGACGATCGGCTCGCCTCCGATCGCTGGGCGCGGTCACTCTCCGGCCCATCACCCGCCTGCCGATCACCTGTCCGCCTCGCCGCGCACGGGCCGCTCGCCTGCTCGCCACCGCCGCCGCGCGTCCCCGCGCCGCCACGCTTCCCTGTGCACCTGACAGCGCTGCGCAGACAGAGCAGCGGCCGCCCAGGCGGTCGCTGCTCCGCCCCGTCCGAATCCGTCCGCCCGCGCGTGCTGCTGCCGCCGCCGCCGCCGCTCCACCCGGTGCCCGTGTGTCGTGAGAGTTGCTTTGTGTATGTGTATGTCGTATGTGTGTGGACACTTATGTTACACTTGAGCCTCTCTATCTATGATTGTAGACCGGTACTCTGGTTTGGATGGTAGCGGGGGGCCCCGCCGGAGGCTGGTTACTGATTTCTCCGGATTCTCCTAGACTTTCAAGAATATTTTAAACACATTTCACACATTAAATGGATTCACATTTTTCTATCGTCCGTGTGGAGCTGGACCGTGCATCGCGCCGGCCGCCGCCGGTGCGCGGTCTGGTGGCGGTGCAGAGCTGCAGAGCCGAGAGCGTAAATAAATAAATAAAACGGACACCTCTACTAGGAGATGGGTAAAAAGGAACAGGTCCCCGCCCTAGCCGAGAGCGTGTGACCGAGCGAGCGTGTGAGCGCTAAATCCTAAAAAACGTGAGCGCGGAACATTTTGCTAGAACCCAAGTGTCACGTGCACGTGTGGCCCAAACGCGGTTCCAATGGCGGTTCGCTGGGACGTCACACTAGCCTGCGGACGACGTGCAACGGGCTTGGAATATGGAAAAAGACAGGGGAGGGGGGGGGGCGACCCCTGGAGGGGCAGGCGCGCTCTCGAGCCGCCCAACCAACCGAACGGGACCCCCCCCCCCCCCCCCTCGCCCCTTACCGATAGACGTGCTCAGACGCGATGTTTGCCGCGATGGCCGTCTCCCACTTGTTGCCATTCTCGAGCAGCTTCTGCTTGTCGTAAAGCAGCTCCTACAGCCGAGGGACGAGGTATACCCGAGATGCAGCCGAGAGATCGGGCTTGTCGTGCGTTGGCTGTCCTCGTGCGTCTCGGTCGCGTACTCAAAGTTTGGCCCCTCGACGATGGCGTCGACGGGGCACGCCTAGGGTATAAGGCAGGGCATGGTGGACGCCTCCACGCGCCGGACATGAAAACGGCTGCCCCCCCCCCCCCCCTCTCCCCCATCTTGAGACGGGCGGCGCGCCTCTTGGCAGAAGCCGCAGTAGATGCACTTGGTCATGTCGATGTCGTACCGCGTCGTGCGGCGCGCACCGTCGGCCCGCACCTCGGCCTCGATCGTGATGGCTTGCGCAGGGCAAATAGCCTCGCACAGCTTACAGGCGATGCAGCGCTCGTCGCCGGTCGCGTAGCGGCGCAGCGCGTGCTCCCCGCGGAAGCGCGGCGAGAGCGCGCCCTTCTCCATGGGGTAGTTGATGGTCACCTACGGTCTCGCGGCGATCGCTGTCCAGAGTCGCTGCGGCGAGGGCGCGCCCTCCTGCTCCGCGGCGCGCGCGCCTTCTCCTTCCAAAACATCGCAAAGGTCAGCGACATCGTCCGGCAGAGCTCGGTGATCCACAGCGACTGCACGGAGCCGGTCAGCACCGAGTTGAGGCTCGCCGTCCCCATGTCGGAGTGCTCCGGCGGCGGCGCGTCCGCCGAGCCGTGCCACCAGTTCTCTGGGAGGTCAATGCTCAGCGAGGGCGGCGGCTTGTCGCTCTGCAGTGCGGTGGCGGTGGCGGTCGACTCGACGGCGAAGCGCTCCGCGGCGGCAGAGGGGCCGCCATAGTTGGGCGAAGACGGCGTCACCCCAGTGGCCTCGCCACCTCCGTCCCACATGTTCTTCTCCCGGGAGCTGCCGCCGCCGGGGGCCTGCACGCAGAGTGCGCGAGCGGCCGACGCCGACCTCTGCACCGGAGAGCTGGCCGGCAGGCGAGGCGCGGACTTCAAGGCGCAGAGCGCCGCCGGCCGAGCCAGCTGGTGGGCGCGCCGGTAGCTTCGCGCAGCCGACATTTGCCAACTGCGCGTCTGTGGACGGTCGGGAGGGGCGGGCGGGTGAGCGACAGCGGATGGGAAGTGGGGTGAGCGGGGCGGTGTCTCTTCGGCGGCGAGGCGGCGGAGAGATGGAGGGGAGCGGCGGGCCGGTGGGCGGGGCGGCGGCGGGGCGGCTGCGGGCGCGAGAGACTCGTGCGGGCGGGGAGCGACGGGGACGCAGGCGGGGGTTGCGTCCGCGTGCGGCGGAATATTGGACGCGCGCAGGCCCGGAGGGAGGAGTGGGCGGGGCGGAGGCGGGGCGAAGGGGCGGGGGTGTGCGGGGCGTCCGGGGAACCCGAGTAGGCGCGCCCGGCAGGGATGTGAGAGGGGAGAGCACCGATGTGGCGAAGCAAATTCTGACGCAGAGGTAAATTCTTTTTTTCTGGATTTAAGAAAGAGAACAAGAAGAAAAGAAAGAAGAAGAGGGAGGAGTGATGCACGCCCTGTGAGCGGGGCGGGGTGCGCACTGTACCTCTGTGTTCGTGCGTTGCCCATCTCTACGGGAGATCGGGAGATGACTGCTCTATTTATTATACACATATGTCGCCCTAAATCCCATCGTCTCAGAGTTTGTTTGACCGTTTTATTTATTCCGCTCCTATAAAGACAACCACACGGGTGAGCCTAAGGGAGCGGCGTGCTCTGCCCGCACCGCCGCACCATCACGCGCCTTGCCTTCGAAGCTGCCTGCCTGGAGCCACACCTGGAACTTGCCGTGGTGCTCGGCGTCGTTTGTGTAGTCCTTGCGTTGCGGCATCGATGCGACCGACAAAGAGCCCGCTGGGGTCTCCCTTGCGATTGCCTCGGTGCCCCGCCAGCGTGCTTTTGTCATCATGCTGTCGTGCCTCTCCGCAGCCGCCGCGCTACCGCGGCCTCCGCCGCGGAAAGTGGCCCGCGCCTTCGCGAATCCCGTCTTGCGGCTTTTGCCGGATGCCCACCGCTTGGCCTCATTGCGGGGGCGGCCACCGGGCCGTGCCGTGGCCGCCCCCGTAGCTCGCGAAGCTGCGAACCGGGCTGCGTCCACTGCGCCGCGACCGTCGGCCCCCGGACTCGGTTCTTCGCGGCCTGCGCCGGAGAGTTGGCGGTCGTGCGCTGGGTGGTGATCGTCATCTGTCTGCTCTGCTGTGCTTCTCGCTCGTGCGTCCTTGGACTTGTGCTGACCTCCTTTCACCTCCTGCTCTCCTATGCCACGTGGCTGTGTGTGTTTGGGTTTCTATGTTTGCGATTTGGATTTTGGATTTTCCACTGCACTTTGTTTATTTATTTATTTATTAAGAAGGAGGAGGAGGAGGAGAGAGAGAGAGAGGGGGAATTCTTCCGTGTTAGGTGGGCGCCGATCACTACCGTTCTATGGCGGCGAGTATCGCTACGCCAGGGAGGACAAGGACGTCGACGGTGCTGCTGCTGCTGTTCGAGTCGTTCGTGGGTTCGGGAAGGGGGTCGGCGAGATCCTCTGGAAGGCGGCGAACGTCGGCTGCAGAACAAGCTGACGCGGGCCCAGTACCTCGACGAGGTGACTTGGACCACCAAGAACTGGCTAGGTAGGGCTGCAGAAGCAGCGTATCTCAGTCGTTCTTCACACGGCCATCGCAGAGCAGATTGTGAATGAATGAGCTTGCCTGCGGCGAGGGCGGTCGGGTGCACGGAGCTAAGTGCCTCGCCGTCCTCGCAGGAGTCGCTTAGGCGGCTCCCGTGGTGTACCTGTCTTAGTGCCAGTGCGCGCCCAGTCCCGTGCCCAGTGTCGCGCGAGGGAGTTTTGTTGTAAAATTCTTTCTGTGTTAGTGCCAGTGCGCGAGTCCCGTGCCAGTGTCGTGCGAGGGAGCTTTGTTGTAAAATTCTTTTGGGTTTGCTTGTAAAATTCTTCTTTGCTTTCTGGGGGGGCGGGGTGGATAGGGTCGGGTTGGGGTGGGGCGGGGTTGCTCGGGTCGGGGTTTGTGGGGTGGGGATGTTGGGGGTGGGGTGGGGTGGGAGTCGTGTGACTGCCTGAGTGTGCAGACTGCCTGCTCCTAGCACCTAGGCTGTATGAGCTTTTCCCCTCGCACCTCTTCTCGTTTCCTTTCCTTTTTTCTCTACAGCACCCTCTCTTGTCCTCTCTATTTTCCCGAAAATCCTGCTCGTGCAGGTGGGGACCCTGTCCTCGTCCCATCCCTCGTTTGGCGTGTCTGTTTTCTTTCTTTCTTTCTTTCCATTTTCCCGGGAAAACTCCGTGGAAATCCGTCAAATTTTGGGCTCTGAGCCGAGTCTGAGGCTGAGGCTGGTTGGGCCCAAAATCAGCCAAATTCATAGGCCAAATCGGCAAAATATCGGGAATTTTGCGGAGAACCCGGGTATACCTGGCTCCTGGGGAAATTACCCTCTTTCGACCGCCCCAGACCAGCTCTCAGACTCAGGGAAACTCGCGAGTTTCCAGAATGGAGCACCAAACACCCTCTGTTTCCCCTGACCGGAAACGCAAAGACCAAAGTGCTGGGGACCCTCTCGCCTCTGTTTTGTTTGCCGGAAAAGCTTATACAGGCCAACCTGCTCCTTCCTGTGGGTGATGGGGGCGACGGCTTCTGAGGAAGCCGTCGCCCGCGCCTTGCCTGTCGCGTGAATCGTGTCGTGCGACCGCCTTTTGTCGTAAAATTCTTTTTGCTTGGCCGGCACTCTTCTGAAAAACAAACGTTGGTATTTTTATTTTTAAGCGGAGACAGTGGGCAGCGAGCGAAGTGGGTGAGACTGATGATGCTCCTTCGACTTAGGGAGCGGTTCAGGCTGCTGGGCGGTGCTCACGCGAAAAGGAATCGACGCGATGTACAAAGCATACAAGAAGGGGAGAAAGAAGAGGAGAGACACCGGTGATGACGAAACAGAAAATAGCGCTGGCGAGAGCAGGGCAGACCCGGGGACGGGGGAGTCGGAGCAGACGGCGTCGGCCGCCGAGGGAATGTTGGGAAGAGGCACGAGGAGGGCGGCGACCTCGACCGACTATGGAGGTCCCGTCGCCAGACGACGCAGGGCAGACGACGGGGAGGCAGAGCAGACGCGCAGGGCGAGACGAGGGAGGGAGCAGGACGTCGCGGAGATCAGCAGGGGGTGTACGAAGAGATTAAGAGTAGCAGGAACCCGAGGGACCATGTGGAAGACGGCTAGTGCTAGTCCCCCCCGTCGGGAGGACGACCGCGGCTAGTCGCCGACCACACCCACAAAATAAAATATTCTTAGCTTCAAGCCCCCCTCCGAGACTAGGGACAGTCACCATCCGTACACAGGAGAGATGGGAGTGCGCCTCGCCCCCACTTGCCCTGACTACACAGGATAGCATGCCCCGATAACGGCGACACATAGTGGGGGACACTGCGCAAGGAGGGGGTGCGAAGGCTCATTGGGGTACTAGGTGGGACCATGAGGGGGGGTGGGCGGGGTCCTGTGGGGGTGAAATGTTGCGCGGCGAATTCGAACCTACCCCCTCGCCGCGCCGATCCTCACGCGGAGGGTAAAACCCTGTGGGACAAAACCCCTCCGCGGTCGGCAGTCTTCAGAGTGGACCCCCCCCTCCCCAGCCTCCCCTGTGCATCTCGCACCCCCCCCCGCTCCCCATCGGTGACTCGCGAAGGACACGGACACTCGGGGTGAGGGGGGGTCCCCCAGAGAGGGGGCTTTGGGGCATTGTTGGGTTGATCGCTCGTGCCGATCTCGGGTCGATCTCGGGTCGATCTCGGGTCGATCTCGGGTCGATCTCGGGTCGATCTCGGGTCGATCTCGGGTCGATCTCGGGTCGATCTCGGGTCTCGGGTCGGTCTTGGGCGGGTCGGTGTCTCGGAGTGGTCTAGAAAAGAAAAAAATGGGGCGAGATGAGGCGAGATGAGGCGAGGTGAGGCGAGGTGGGGGGCGAGATGAGGCGAGATGAGGCGAGATGGACCACACCCACAAAGAACCCTGCACAAAGATCGCACGGGCGGGGATCTGTTCTTTTTACCCACCTCACAGTAGAGAGGTGTCCGTTTTTATTTATCTATTTATTTATTTGCTACAAATCTCTCTCTCTCGTATCTGAAATTCTGCAAAAACCCCGTTTAGATACTCCCCTCTTCTGGAAACAAAAAAGAAATCACCGGATGATGTCGCAGGGATACCTGGGGAAATCCGGGAAATTTCGGGGTTTACCCAGTTTTTTTGGCCTTTTCTGCTTGCTGACCGCTGAACAACAGTAACATCAGTAACAAACAGTAACAGCTTGGGCTGGGAAGAAAGTTAACGTTTGACAGCTCTAGAGATAGAAAGAGGCACACGCCCAAGGGTGGGAGGCGGCTAGCACCACACTCCTCTCCTTAAAATCCCTGTGTGGTGGCGGCGTGCCGTCCTCCCGTCCCTCCCTTGGGTTGTCTGTTTTATTTATTCGCAGTCATGGCTCTGTCTGCTGGTTCTCGCTCGCGTGCGTCCTCGGAAGTTGTGCCCGCCTCCTTCTACATACGAGCTCGTATGCCACGTCGCTGCCTGTGTTTGGATTGCTATGTTTGCGATTTGGAATTTGGCATTTGTACTAGGAATTCCATGTTGATTGTTGTGAGGGAATTCCTAAAGTGATTAAAGTGATGCTGATGGTGGTGGTACTCTCAGTTTCCTTCCTGTGACACGGCAGGCCACCCTCACCCACTTGGTCGAGAAGCGCGCGCGATCTCGTACTTTCAAGGCTGGTCCCGGCCATTCCAAGGGTAAACCTTTCTCCTTTGAGATGAATACCCAGCGTCCCTCCCTCCTAGTCACAATCTCAATTTCTCGACTCTACAACACGACGTGCTGCGATCGGGGTTCGCCCATTTTCCCTTTCTTTTTTGGGCCCTGTGGGCACCCTACGCACTGCGCAGCAACAACAACAACACAAACTCTCTTCGCAGTGGCACTGGCGGTCTCATCTCAGAGAGAGAGATTTGAAAACCAACAAGATATCACGACTCTCACAGTGATTTGGGCCCGGCAGCTTGTCAGCCCTCAGCCGAAGCTCGGGCCGGTCCCTTACGTAGCTAGCCGAGAGAGCCTCCCGCGTCGATGCTACGGGGAGCTGAAGAATAAATAAATAAACCCGACACGCCAAACGAGGGGTGGGAGAAGGACAGGGTCCCCACCTGCACGAGCAGGATCTTGTAAATAAATAAATAAACAAAGTGCAGTGGAAAATCCAAAATCCAAATCGCAAACATAGAAACCCAAACACACACAGCCACGTGGCATAGGAGAGCAGGAGGTGAAAGGAGGTCAGCACAAGTCCAAGGACGCACGAGCGAGAAGCACAGCAGAGCAGACAGATGACGATCACCACCCAGCGCACGACCGCCAACTCTCCGGCGCAGGCCGCGAAGAACCGAGTCCGGGGGCCGACGGTCGCGGCGCAGTGGACGCAGCCCGGTTCGCAGCTTCGCGAGCTACGGGGGCGGCCACGGCACGGCCCGGTGGCCGCCCCCGCAATGAGGCCAAGCGGTGGGCATCCGGCAAAAGCCGCAAGACGGGATTCGCGAAGGCGCGGGCCACTTTAATAAATAAATAAAACGGGCACGCCAAACGAGGGGAGAAAGGACAATCAGGGACACGAATCCGATATTTTTTCTCAGACGCCGAAACCTGCACGCTGCCAAGCGCCGCCTTTGTTGAGGCCAGGATACACAATGCACGCCGGCCAGAGCGCGCCAGAGCGCGGAGACGTCCCCGGCTCGCAGCTGCCGTCTCTGCGCGAGCGGCGCGTGGCGGCGACCCGGGAGGGCCGCTCGCTGCTGTTGCCGAGCACGGTCGGCGCCCCGAACGCCCCTCCGCCGCCCGCAGACATTCTTGAGCAGCGGCAGCGCATGGTTGCGGCAGCGAATCCGGCGCTCAGCCAACCCGCCGGCGCAGTGGCGGGTGAAGAGAGCGGAGAGGACGACGCGCAGTCGCTCGCCTCGATCCCCTCGCCCGCCTCGTCGGCCCCGCCGTCGCCGCAGCGGTCGGCCACGCCTGGCCGCCCCGCTGACACACCGAGCCTCGGCGACGCCTCCAACCTCTCCGGTGCTGCCGGCGGCGAGGCGGCCGGCGGCGAGGCGGCAGGATCGCCCGCGGAGAGGGAGCGCTCTTCCTCGTGGCGCGCCTCGCACGCCTGCCGCCGCCACCGCCGCCGCCGCCGCCCTCCCCCGACGCGCGCCTCTCGCATGCCGTAGGTCGCTGATCGAGACGTCGGCCGGCCTCCTCGACTCGGTCTCGTCGATGCTCGCAGGGTACGCGCCCTGGTCGCCAGGCAAGGGCCGCCGGGGAGCGACCCGCGCCAGCGCCGCCTCCTGCTCCGTTCCCACCTCGCCAGCCGCTTCGGCCAGCCCCTCGATCGTGGTCCGCTCCCCCTCTCCTGTCGCGGGCGCCGCCTTCGCCACATCCCCGTCGTCGGACGCGGCGCCCTCTCCGCCGCAGCGGCCCGCCGGAAGCGTCGCGGCGGCGCGGCGATTCGCGACCAAGACGAGGCAGCCACCTCGCGACGGCGGCGGCAGCGGAGCGAGCCCTCAACCCAGCGCCTTGGACCGAGAGTTCTCGCTGCGGAGGGTGGAGGGGTCGCCCTCGGACTATTGCGAGGGCGCGGCGTCGTCCGACGAGCCCGCCGCGCAGCGGCAGCCCGCCGCGCCGCCCCCGCTCACCCTCGGCCACGAACGGGCGGACAGCTCTACCGCGAGTCTGCCGGCCGCGAGGCGCTCGCAGGGTGTGTCGCCAACCACGGAGCGGCTGCGCGCTTACTCGGGCGCCTCTGGGGCGCACGCAAAGGTGAGATTGGATCGACAGGAACGCAGCGCCGCCGCCCTCATCGCCGCCGCCCTCACCGCCCCGTCGCCCGCCCCACAGATCCTCGCCGAGTTGCAGGGGCTTCAGACGCGGCCTGTGGTCTCGCCCGCGCGTTTGGAGCGCGAGCACCGGCGCCCTAGATGCTGAAACACACCCCTGTGCTGCGACTCGCGCTCGATGCGTCGCGAATGTCGCACTCATGTTGTGGCGGCTGTATTCGGTAGCCTTTGTATTTCCCGGGCGTTGCATTTCAGCGCCAGCCCGCTGCACCATCACACTCTGTACCTCTAGGCACCGGCGGGAGCTGAGCCGGGTCTACGCGGCGCGGATGTGGCAGGCTCGCTGGCGGCAGTACGTGCGCCGCAAGCTGCTCAATTCGGAGGATGAGGCGATCATGAATGCGGCGTTGATGAGCGACATCAGTGGTGAGCCGAGATTTGGACGAGAGTAGCCGACCGCACTTAGCAGCCGCTGATGGCGGAGGCGCTTCGGCGCGACAAACTTGGTAGACTGGGGAGGGCTCCCCCCCCGCCCCCTCGCCCGTTGCTTTCCCCCCCCCCCCCCCCCCCTTCCCTCCCTGACTGCCAGACATATGATTGACGTGACGATCCTGCCAGGCGACGTTGCGGAGCTGATCCAGGACACAACCCCGTTCACGGCGCGACGCCGGTCCGAAGGGGACAGCAGCTCCCGGCCGGCGTCGCGCGAGGCGTCGCGGCGGCGCTGGTCCGAAGGGGACGGACGCCTTCGGAGCCCGCTCACCGTCGAAGGCTCGCCCGAGCCCGGGTTTGCCCCTCCCTCCTACGAAGAGGGCGCCGCGACCCCGCCAGGCCGCGCCGCCGCAAAGGCCGCGCCGCTCGACGCAGAGGCTGTCCACGTCGACGTCGGCCCCGCGTCGCCCGAGCCGGAGGCGGGCGGTCGCTTCCCCCTCTGTCGCCGCTGGTGTTTGCCGCGCACCCGCCCCTCCCACCACGCGCGCCGCGAGCCGGGCGACATCGAGGGGAAGCTGAGGGACAAGGAGATGGAGGGCTCGGCGCTCGCCCACACACTCAGCATCGGGCACGGCATGCACGTCAAGGCGCCTCACGCCTCATGACCATTGTCTCATCAACTTCACCTCACCTCACCTCAACACCTCCACCGCCGTCGCTCACGGATTCCGTCCATGCCTAAGGCTGGTGGAATCGTCGCCGAACCTTCTCGGAACTTTCCTTTATAGGCGCCGCCGAGCCCGGACATGAAGAAGGCGCGGCTCTACGCGTCGCAGCGGCTCGCGCGGCAGCACGAGGGCGACGAGGCGCCGGGCGAGCTCTACCCGCTCTACACGCCTCTCGAGACTTTCGACCGGTTCGGGACCGACGTCTCACAGTACATGCATTTTGTGCTCTACACGTCGCGCCTCTTCTTCTGCCTCTTCGCCTTCAACCTCGCCAACCTCATCATCAATCTGGAGGGGCAGAACCTCGCTTTCCTTGAGCTCGACTCCGCCGCGGCGGGCGTCAATCCACTCGCCGTTGTGCACACGCTCGGCAATACCGAGTCGACGGGCGTCCTCGCCAAAGGTCGCCAATCACCTCACCCCACACCTCACCCCACCTCACCCCACCTCACTGCGCCTCACTGCGCCTTGCAGCATGTTCCGCTGCGAAACCTGTCCATAGGCGGCCATTCCTACGGCGTCATCGAATTCATTACCAGCGGGGTGCTCGTCGTCTACATCTTTTGGCTGCGCGGCAAGATGTCCGAGATCCGCACCCGCATCCGCAACTCAACCTCGCTGGCTACGCTCACCGCCGCCGATTTCACCGTGATGGTGTCGCATTTGCCCGACGGCTGGGGCAGCGACGACGTGCGTGGTTTCTTTGAGCGCTTCGGTCAGGTGGTGCACGTGTCGGTCTCGCTCAACAATCGCGGCCTTATCCTCGAGATGAAGCGCACGCAGGAGCTGCGCGACCGGCACACGGAGGCGGCGTTGCACTTGCTCACGAAGATGTCCCGCTTGGCGAAGAAGGAGGAGGTCGTGCGCGCGCGCGTGCGCTCCGTTCGCTCGCTTGAGCGCTTCGAGCGGCACCGCGCGAGGCTGCGGCTGCTGATGCGCGGCAAGTACCAGCACACGGGCCACGTGCGTGTCACCTCCAGCAGAGCTCGCTGAACCTCCCGCTGCGGGCAGCCTCGCATCACCGCAGCGTGCTGTGAGCAGGCCTTCGTCACCTTCAACAAGGCGAGCGTGACGCCGGAGCTCGTGCGGCGGCTCGGCAAGGGCGGCACTGACGAGCACCGGGTGCACTAGACGTTTCCTGGACATTTCTGAGACGCGCTCTCTCTCCCTCCGCTCTCACCTTGCTTTTGCCACACACGCGCCTCCCCATTCCAACCACTCTGCAACGCCCATGGCCACGCCCATCGCTACGCCCATCGCCACGCCCATCGCCGCGCCCACGCCGAACCCGCGCCACGCGGTACCGCTCCATCCGCAGGTGCAGCAGGCCCTCGGCGCCAAGCTGCACGTTAAGCGCGCGCCCGAGCCGTCCGACGTCTTATGGGAGAACCTGCAGTACTCGCGGCGGCAGCAGCGGCAATGGCAGTGCCTCTCGACGGGCATCATGTGCGTCCTGGCGACGGTCGGCATCTTCACCATCTTCGTCTCCAATTACTACCTCGCGCCCGGGGTCAACCCAAACGCGGCGTACCCTCTCCCCGCAGGGCAGTTTCTCGCGCAGATGCTTGGTGCGCTGGTGGTCAACATTGGTGGGCACCTCATCTTCTTCATCCTCGTGCTCTTCCTCGCGAAGCTCGTCGAGGTGCAGTACACGCACCGCGAGCGCGAAAAGGAGATGATGATCAAGATGACCGTCTTCCAGATCCTCTCCGTCGTCGTCCCCTCCTTCCTCTACCTCTTTCTCAACACAAACGCGAACGAGCTCGCGTTCAACGACTCGATGGGCCGCTTCGGCGCGAGCTGGTACGTCTCGGGCGGTCAGGTGCGGCGAGGGACCTCCTATTTTTGCGCACATGTCACACGTGCTCTGCAGCCCGCACCGAGCCTGCCCCTCCCCGCCGCCGGTTCGCCACACGCACACCCACCGCTTGAAGTCAAAGCTGTCGCCCGCCCTCGCCATTCCCAGTTCGTCATCGTCGCGCTCGTCGGCGACGCGACCGCCATCAACCTCTTCATCGACCTCGTGCGGCCGGTGCCCGACTTGTTCAACCGATACGTGCTCGCGCGCCGCGCAAAGACGCAGGCCAAGATGGACGAGCTCTGGACCATCGATGCGGACCTTACCCTTGGCTTTCGCGTCCAGCTGATGAACAAGATCGTTTTTGTTGGACTCATGTTCGCGTTCGCGATCCCGATCCTCTACGGCCTTATCTTTCTCTTCCTCTTCTCCGCGCATTGGGTGGACCGCTACACGCTTCTCCGCCGCCTCACGCCACCGCCCGTGACGCACGACGGCCTGATGGAGGTTGTGATCCGGTACATCTTCCCCGTGGCCGTCCTCACGCACACGGTCATGGCTGTCATCTTCTTCAACGACATTTGCGTCGGATCAAAGGCCGCCGACGAGGGCGCTTGCGAGCGCGCCTTCGCCGCCGGTTTCAGCTTTGACAACAGCACAAACAGCAGCGATCTCCTCGGCGGCACTTGCGTGCCCGACGTCGGCACCGGCGACCTCAACGACTTGCTCGACCCAGAGCGGATCGCGGTCAAGGAGGAGTGGGCGGAGCACATCCGGAACAACGCGAACTTTGACCTCTACTCGGGTTCCGTGCTCTCGCTCGAGTGCCTCGTCGCCAACGCGTCTCAGTCGGGCGCCTTTTGCACCGTGGTGTCCGGGTGCTCGCTCGAGCTATCGGGCGCGCACGTGATACTCATCTGCGGCGCCTTCATCTGGGGCATCGGCGTCGTTGTCTACCTCCTCCTCCACTGGTGCAAGCGGCGGCGCGACGCCGCGCTCGGCGAGAAGCGCCGCTCCGCCCTCTCCACCTTCTCGCTCAACGCGTTCCGCTTCATCATGCAGCGCGATGTGCTGCGCCCAGCTGAGCCGTCCAGCACGCACTTGGACGCTCGCATCTGGCCGACCGGCTCGCGCGTCGGCGCCAGCCCGGGCTCTCGCCCCGCCAGCCCGCCGCCGCCGGCGCATCGAGGGATAGCAGCGACGCCACGGGGCGCGGCGAACAAACGGACGATCCCCCGTACCCCCGGTCTCGTCTCGGCCGCGGCTGCCGGCGCGCCTCCCCCAAGCTCGGGCGGCGGCGAGGACAACGGCGGCGGCGCGGCCTACACGAGGCCGCCGCCCTCTCCGAGGGGCTGTCCGCCCATTCTCGCGGCGCAGGCGCCTATGTACTTGCCGCCGCTGACGCGCGCCCTGCTCGAGATGTATGGCAACAACGCGCGCCTCGACCGGCGGCTGCTCAAGTCGTACTTGCAGATCGCCAACGTGCCCATACAGCAGGGGCCGGGAGGAAGCGTCGAGGAATTGCGTCGCTCCTCGCTGTCGAGCGAGCGCTCGGTGCTGTCCTCCCTCGCCGAGCCGCTGCGCGAGGCGTCGGGACGCGTCAAGGGAACCGTGCCCTCGGTCGAGCAAGTGCGGACGATGCGCGACGCGCTGCGCCAAAAGCTGGGCGAGGTCGAGCAGCAGCTCTCGGCGATCGGCGACCGTGAGACGTACCAGCAGTCCAACACCGCATTGCGCGGTGGGCTGCAGCGCGGCGCGCAACGGCTCGGCTCCACCTTCCTACGCCGCAAGAGCGACCCGAGGTTCTCGGAGAGCGACATCTCGGAGCCCGAGTTGGCGCCGCCGTTCTCGCCGGTGGCGGAGGAGGACCCGGAGGGGCTGGCGGTGGACGTGCCGGGGGACGACCCGGAGGGGCTGGCGGTGGACGTGCCGGGGGACGACCCGGAGGGGCTGGCGGTGGACGTGCCGGGGGACGACCCGGAGGGGCTGGCGGTGGACGTGGGCAGGGCACCGACCACGGATGAGGTGCCGGGAATGGCAGCGTCGTCGTCTCGAAGGCGGAGCACCGCTGACCAGGTCCTATAGGGTTCGTACAGCAGAAGTACTTGTCGAGTCGCTTGTCCAATGCTGATTTTAGTTAGAGAGAGCTGGGTTTTTTGAGGCATTGTGCTTTGTGGGGTTGGCACTCCACCATCGACCCTCATGTGGGACCACAGCCAGGATACACTCGAAGGCTGGGACCTGGTACAAGCACGAAGCAGTGGCTACGGCTTTTTAGTTTCACCCGATCACGCGCAATTACGTAGAGAAGAAGTAAGCATTTCACTGTGGCACAGCTCGGTCGCGTTACAAAACCTTGATTTTTGGTCTTTGTGCCATTTTGTCCCTCTCGGTGCCTTCCAGAGACCAGAGGCAGCTGCGACCCCGCCGAGTAGATGGCGGCACACCGCGCCGATTTTTGGTCTTTGTGCCATTTTGTCCCTCTCGGTGCCTTCCAGAGACCAGAGGCATATCTCTTTTTTTTTTTCTTTCCTCCTCTCTTCTCTCTTCTTTCTTTTCCTCCTTTTTTTTCCTTTCTTTCTTTTCCTCTCTTCCTTCTCTTCTCTCTCCCCCCTTCCTCCCCCTTTTTCTTCCTCTTTCTCTTTCTTT